CACAGCCTGGGTGGCCTGCCGGCTCTGTTCCCCCTGCTGGCGCAGCAGCGGCAAGGCACGGCCAGCTCAGCGGGCGAGCGAGTGCGCGCCACGCTGGACCTCCTGGGTGCCATGCTGCGAGGCAGCTCGCTGCACCGCGCCGACTGCCGGGGCAGGCGCTCGCGGTTGCGGCGCTCCTCCGCGCCGCGTCGGGGGCGAGCCTGACCCCCGACGCCGCGCGTGCCGCCTTCCGCCTGGCCGCGGCCGCCGGGCCGGCGGGGGCGGCCGCCACGCTGCGCGCGCTGTGCTGTGACCTGGCGCTGTGGACCGCGGCACCCCTGGAGACGCACCTCTGCCTCGCCGACTGCCTCGTGGCCCTGGCCGAGGTGGGGCGCAGGGATGTTTGTTCCTGGGCGAGGTCGTGCCAGGGGACGCAGCTGTGCTCGCAGAAGAACCAGCCGATCGGATGCATGCGCTGACCCGCTCTGGCGGGCTGTGCCTCGGACCTGCCATTGGGGCAGCGGTAGTATCCTGATATACCTTCACCCGCTCCGCCCTCGCCTTCCAGGAGGACCCTGAGGCAGCCTACGCGACGCTCAGCGTGCCGGAGCTGGTCGCTGCAATGCTCAGGCACAGGGTCGCCGGCGGGGCAGGGTCCGGGAACTCAGCACCGGGCTGGAGCACTGGAGAGGCCAGGGCCGCACGGCGCGCCTACCTGCGCGCAGCGGCCGCCCTGCTGGAAAGCAGGCACGCCAGGCCGGAGGCTCAGCACGAGGCCTCCGCAGCAGACGGCCTCGTGGTGAGTTGCCGGGAATCGGTCACGCGGCCCCAGCATGAACAAGAGAGTGGCAGCGGGGCGGCACGCCTCTGCAGGGCATCTGGGCCAAATTGCACCCGCTGCCATTGCCGCAGGCTCTGGGCAGTGCTACCTGCAATGTTGCTGCACGATGGGGTTTGCGGTGCAACAAAGCCCAACCTTTAGCTGTCTGTGGGAAGAGGGTCTACAACCAGAATCGATCGGGTTTTCCACCACCTCTCTTCCTTCCTTTCTTCTTCCCCTCCAGACGCTGGTCGCCATGCTGACAGGGTCGGGGGCGGCGACGGAGCTCGTGCTGGACGTGGGTCACACCCTGCTGAGCATGCTGCGCGGCAGGTCGCTGGCGCGGCAGGCCCTGATCTGCGGGCTGGAGGGGCTGGGGTGCCCGGCCATCCTCCTCCCGCTGGTGAGGCCGGGGGGCCCAGGCAGTGGCACTGGAGGGAGGGCATTGGTCAGCCTGTCCCCATGCTCCCCGCCACAATCAACACCAAGCGACCACCAACCCGCAGGTGGGGCACCCGGACGAGGGCGTGACCCTGCTGGGGCTGCGCCTCATCACGGCGTGCTCGGCGCGGCCCCTGGCCGACGGCGTGCTTACCGGCCTGCAGGCCCTGCTCCTGCCCCGCCTCTTCCGGGATCAAACGCGGGACGCGCTGCTGGAGATGATGTGTGGCGGCGCGGCCTGGGACTGGGTGCGGCGGTCGCAGATGGGGTGGCTTACGTTCGAGGTTGTTGGGATCTGTTCTGGGTGTGATTGGTGTTTTACTCTGAGGGGCCAAGCCCATGCTTCGACTTGGCAAGATGGTCCACCCTGAATGACCTTGTACCAGGCTCTGGGCAGCCATCAACCCTCCACCGACGCGTGCAGACATCCACGAGCTCCGTGCCGCTGGCGATCAACCCGGGAGTGGCGCCGCTGCTGGTCCAGCTGGCGCTGCGGGCGGCCCAAGCACAGCGCGACGCCACGCTGCGCGCGCTGTGCGCCCTGGCCGAGGCCCATGCCCCCAACCGCGACGGTCTGCTGGCCAGGCCGGGGCTGACCTCCCTCCTCCTCGACGCCGCCCTGATCGCTGGGGGGGGGTGGGGAGTGGGGCGTGAGGCTGGAGAGGCGATTCGGAGTGGAGAGGGAAGGAGGGACCTGAATTCCGCACGGCCGGGCGGCGATCCATTGGATGACCCCGCCTGGAGCACGCTGTGCGCGCTGCTGTGCCACGCCGTTCGGGCCGTGCACGGCGGCGTGCGCGACCACCTGGCGCCCATCCTGGCGCACGCCGCCATGCGGGGGCTGGGCACCGTCGACCCCGAGGAGGGCCGGGCAGCGGGCGTGCTGGTGGACGCCCTGCTGCGAGCCGTCCTGGGCCGGCTGGAACAGGCGCAGGGCCCAGGTGCGAGGCGAGGATGTTTCGAGGAGGGTGTCGAGGGTCTTGGAGTGGGCGTGGGACCGCCAGGTGCCTGCAAGATTCATGAGCCATCGATGGGGTGGGAGACCAGCAGCCCTCCACGTGCCCATTCAGCCTCCCCGCACTCCCTTGCTGCCAATGCTGAACCAGCAACATCAATCCCCACGCCATCACCATGCCAGGCGAGATCCCCCTCCCCTCTCGGGCGTCCCCGTCCGAGGACGATGACAGCTGGACGCTGGTCACCTCCTGGCTGGCGGAGCCGTACCTGACCAACGCCTGCGAGCTGTGCGCCCTCCTGCACGCCCACCTCGCCCACTCCCTGCCCTTGCTGTGCGGGGCGCAGTCCCCGACCGCGGGTGCCGACTCTTGTGATGAGTGGCGGTCCGGCGCAGCCGACGCGGCGCGCTGGCTGGCCGATCCTGGGGCCTCGCCGCCGGGCACGCTGCCCGCCCCGGCCTGGCGGCTGCTGGGCGTGGCGCCGGGGCCACTGCCGCACGACACGCTGGAGCTGGAGGAGGCGGGCTGGCGCCTGCTGCACCGCCTGGCCGGCAGCGAGGCGGCACGCGCCGCGCTGCGCACGCTGGGCTTGCCCGCGCCACAGGCCCTGCCGGCCCTGCTGCGCCTGCTGGCGGTGCGTGGCCTGCGCCGGCCGTACGCGCCACGCGCGACGCAGCGCGCTGCGGCGCACGCGCGCGCGCTGGCGGGGGCCGTGGCGGCCTGCCAGGACGGCGCGGCGGCCGCGCGAGAGCTGCACCTCCTCCTCGCCTGCTGCATGAAGCTGGACCGCGCCTGGGCCGGCGAGAGCGAGGCAGTGGACGCCGAGCTGTGGAGCGCCACCGCTGCCGCCCTGCACATTGTCGTCGGGGCGGTCACCCGGGCGCTCATCGTGATCGACGCGTTCCGCAGCAGTCAGGAAGACAGCAAGGGGAATGGCAGCGGCGAGGCGAGCCAGGCAGCCACGCCGAGCGAGCGGCGGAGCGCTGCCGTTCGATCTCCCACCCCAGAGGCCGTGCTGGACGTCGGGGAGGTGGTCGCTGCCGCGCGCACCGCCGTGGGTGTGCTGCTGCAGATCCCAGAGGCGCTGGCCGCCGCCGAGGCCGGCAGGACGGCCCTACTGGCCGGGCGGACAGCCGCGCTGGAGGCCGACGCGGCGGCAGCGGCAGACGGCGCGGCCGACGCCACGGAGCAGGTGGCACACGAAGCTGCACGGCAGCTGGGCCTGCAGGGAAGGGCCGCCGCGGACGCCGCGGCGCTCGCCGCCGGCACCTGGAAGGCCCTGCAGCTGGAGCTGGAGGCCGAGGGCGCCATCTGGCGCCCGGCCCAGAGCGTTGCGCTCTGGCGGCTGGACACGGGCTGGGAGGACGGCGGCCGCCGGCGCCGGCGCCTGGTGCGCCTGGTGCGCCGCCCGATCTACTGCGACGAGGCGGGGCGGGGCGAGGAGGAGGTGTTGGAGGATCGCTCCGGCCGGTCTGGAGTGGGGAATGACGGCGAGGAGGAGGGAGCGAACTGCCCGATCACGACCCTTGCGCCGGCAGAGCCCACACCCACCCTGGGCCGCCTGGTGGCTGGCACGGTCATGGAGGTGTTGGCGGGCGAGCAGGGGGCACTTGCTGAGGTGGAGGAGGAGACGGGTGCAGGAGCGCGTGGCGAGGAGCACGGGCCCGATCGAAGTTGCAATGTGGATGCGCAGTCGTCCATGTCTTTGCGCAAGACGGCGGTGGGCGGGCAGGGCCCCTCGCAGCCATGGGGCCAGGACGGCACCGAGGATCAGCAGCAGGCCGCAAGCCCGGCCCGCCCGGGCTCGGGCATGCCTGCGCTGGTCAGGACGGCGCTCACCGCGCTGCCGGCGGCCTGGCAGAGCACGCTGACTGGCGGCTGCCAACTCACCGACCTGAGCTGCGAGCTGGTCTGGCCGGGGGGCGCCCTGCCCGGCTGCCTGGATCTTCGGTCTGCGGCTGGAAGTCTGCGCTTCTGGCCGAGCGACACTGGCGATCTTTGTGCGGGGGGTGAGGGCACAGATACTGGTACCCAGGAGCTTGCCGAGGAGGCAGAGGAGACCGGCGCCGCAGGATGGCGCTGGCGGCTGGAGGAGGTCGCCGCCATCCACCACACGCGCCACCTCCTGCAACCAGTTGCCTTGGAGGTCTTCTTCCGGGGCGGCAGCGGGCGGGGTCCCGTGCTGCTCAGCTTCCCCTCGCATCGAGCAAAGCGTGCCGCCTGCGATGCGCTGGCACGGGCGTGCCCCCAGGCCCAGGTCCTAGACGACCGGCGTAAGAAGGAAAGGGCCGCTGAGCTGCAGGGAGCCTGGTGCAGGTGCGATGTTGATGTGGGGTGTCAAGGTGGAAGGAGAGGATGGGAGGGGATGGTGGTAATTGTTGGAATGCGGCATGTTCCAGTGCCCCTGCTGGGGACCGGTGGCGGTCAGCATTGCGCCCTTGGTATCTTGAGGGAGGATGCTCACCCTTTGAGAAGGACTGCGTGAGGGGAGAGCACCAATGTTGCACATCTCAATCTTTCAGCAACGCCAATGAAGAACATGGGACCCTCTGGTCATCCATGAAGCCAAGCTCCCTGGTCCCCTCGCTTGCTCCAGGTGGGAGATGAGCACCTTTGACTACCTCATGGCCCTCAACACCCTGGCTGGGCGCACCTACAATGACCTCAACCAGTACCCGGTGAGGGTGGGTGTCAAGAATCACTGTTGGCACGATCACTTTGCATGTGTGACTGGGCGAGCGGTCCACGCCCCAGGCTCATGCCAGAGCTCAAGCACCCCGCTGCAGGTCTTCCCCTGGGTTCTGGCAGACTACTCTTCCCCCACTCTAGACCTCTCAGACCCGACTGTATACCGTGACCTGACCAAGCCCATAGGTGGCCGGCTAAACTTGAGCATTCTGGTTGCAGGGTGGACCCTTCATTTGTGGTGCAAGCACCTCCTTCCTGCTTTTATTCGCTGCCGCAACCATCTCCCAGGCTGTCCACTGGGATGTTATCAGCCATGATGTAGTGATTTGACGATCCTCCATCCATCTCTCGCTGCTCAGGTGCTTTGAACCCACATCGCCTCGCCTCCCTTCGGGAGAGGTCTGCATCGCTGATCCATGATCCCGATGTGCCCCCATTTCTGTACGGATCCCACTACTCCTCCGCTGGATCGGTGGGCTGGGAACACCTGTTGTCGGGATCATGTGACGTGGAGTTGTGCCTGACACACCATAAGGGAAATGCCTCGTGGGAGTTCCAGAGAGTTCTTGTGGGGCCACAGGGTCACTCAGACGGCACATGCAGATTCCCTGGTCCAGGGGCACCCTGGCAACCCAAGCCTCTCTCCATCATAATCCCAGGTCCTGTTCTATCTCCTGCGACTGGAGCCCTTTACGCGCCATGCACGTGCGCTGCAAGGCGGTCGCCTGGACCATGCGGACCGCCTCTTCCACTCTTTGGAGGCAACATGGCAGAACTGCTTGAACAGCACTTCAGGTGAGGTGTGGGGTTCATCTTGCGACAAGCAACAGGGATGTAGATGGAGAGATGCCCTGCTTGCTTGATTGTCTGTGTGGTAGCCCGTTAGCCAGCAGTTCAAAACCTCAGCATATGTTGAAGGGTACTGCTGGGTGCAACGGCATGTGCATCATGGAATGGGCAACCCCAGAATGTATCTGCATGCAGCCTCACTGCATGCATAATGTCCTCTCCGCCAACCATTCACAACCCTCCACACACTGTCTGCAGACGTGAAGGAGCTGACTCCAGAGTTCTACTATCTACCAGACTTTCTAGAGAACGGCAATGCGTACCACTTGGGCACACGCCAGGTGGGATGGGTGAAGTATTTGATGGGCTGGAGGAGGAGAGATCCGAGTGCTCGATGCGCTGTGTTGATCTTGGGCTGTATCCAAGTGGCTGCTGTCCAGTCTGAAGCAATTCCCTGTCTCCAACCTGTTTACTGCTTGCGCCCTTTCCTACAGGATGGCGTGCGGCTGGGGGACGTTCAGCTGCCCGCATGGGCTGGGACCTCGCCCCACACCTTCATCCACGCCATGCGGGAGGCGCTGGAGGGGCCCCACGCCTCAGCCTCCATGCACCACTGGATAGACTTGGTGTTTGGATGCAAGCAGCGAGGTGCGTGGGTGGATGTGTAGAACATGTGAGGGTGTCTGTGTGTGCATGGCAGTAGATGTGCCAGCTTTGCGGCTTGCTGTGTTTTGAGGGATGATGAGTGCAGGGATGCATGCCGGTGCAGAGCACGCATCCATACCCAGCTCCTGACCCCTCGGTCAAATCCAAATCCATAAACATACCCCCTCGACCCCAAAATATCAGGCCCTGCCGCTGTGGCGGCTGACAATACCTTCTATTACCTCACCTACGAGGATATGGTGGACCTGGATCGAATCGCCGACCCGGTGCAGCGCGCCGCGGTGGCCGCTCAGATCCGGCACTTTGGCCAGACGCCCAGCCAGCTGTTTCCCCGGCGGCCGCACCCCTCCCGCCGCCCGCCCCCCGCCCCCTCCCGCTGGCCGCTGCTCCATGCGCCAGAGTGCCTGCGCGTCGTCGCGGCCCTGCCGGGGGCAAGGCCGAGCACAGCCGCGCCCGTGACCGCGCTGGCGCTGGGTCCTGACGGCACGCTGCACGCAGTGCACGCGGCGTCGCGCCTGGTCGCATACCGCTGGCTCGCGCACCGCACGGAGGCCGGGCCCTTCACCTTTGGACAGACCGCCGCCGAGCCGGCCGGCGCCGGCCAGGGCCTGCTGGAACCGTGCGGGGCAGGGCTCACCCTGCTTGACCCCGGCCCAGGTCCTGGCATCACCCCAACCCAGGCCCCGCCCGTCGCCTTCCTGCCGGGCACGCGGCACGTGGCGCTGGGCGGCGCCGATGCCACGCTGCGCTGCGCCTGGGTGGAAAGCGGCGCGCCCAGCGCCGCGGCGTCCTACCACCAGGACGCCCTCACCTGCCTGGCCGCCGACGAGGGAGTGGTGGTGACCGGCTCTCGCGACGCCACGCTCCTGGTCTGGGAGATGGGCGCGCGCGGGGTGGAAAGGGCGCCACGCCGCCCGCGCGCCACGCTGCATGGCCACCCCTCGCCCGTGGTGGCCGTGGCGGTCAGCACCCCGCTAGACCTGGTGCTCAGCGCCTCGGCCGGCGGGACCCTGTTGCTGCACGGCCTGCGGGATGCCAGGTGCGTGAGTGAGGAAGGGGAGCCTGTGTGGATCCCTGGAGAGAAAAGGAGATGGGATCGGCCTGCACCCTCAGGGCCATGGGTTGCGTGGATTCGAGAGTCCTGTGGAGGACACTCTCTCTGGTTGATGACTGTAGTGCAGATCATCATGTCTATCTGCTCCGCGCTTGGTCATCTGCACCCTTTGTTCTGGAATGCAACGACGGCTCCATCGATTGCAAGCACAGCAAAATTTGCATGTACCTCTACCATCCCAAATCTCCATTCCCCACCTTCTGCCCCCAAACATACAAACACAAAGGTTGCTCCGCTCCATCCCCTGCCCCGCCACCCCGGCCCTGCTGGCGGTGGCCCCAGGCCCCGGGGTGCTGCTGACGCACTCCCACGCCGACCTGGCCATCCACGGGTACGGCCTGAGCGGGCAGCGGCTGGCGAGCGTTGAGGTGTACGAGCGGCTGGCGGACATGCAGGCCAGCCCCGACGGGCGTCTGCTCCTGACTGTGGGCAGCGGCGGCGGCCTCGCCATCCGCGACCTGGCCACGCTGCGTGTGCACCTCAAAATCGCACTGCACGCTGGACCCCTCACGACCCTGGTTCTGACCCCGGAGCAGTGCGTGCTGGTGGGCACGAGGTCCGGCGGGCTGATCCTGCTGGCGCCGGACCTGCGTCGCACCGTGTCCCCCCGCCCCCTGCGCTTTGGGGACTGGCCTTGACGGGTCCTGTTCCTGGGACTGGAAGCTGGCACAGCACGGGCCCTCGGCTGGTCCAGTGCTTGGCTTGCATACTGGAAGGGACTGGAGAACAGATACAACTTCCGAGAGGAAGGCTGCAACAGCTGGTCAGGGTCGCGGGAAGGGAAGGGAATCGCAAGAAAGTATGACTCACAAGGTACGATGCCTCACGCAGTTCGAGGGTGCACTTCCTCCAGCGGGCGGTAGGGCAGCGTCACGTGGAGCCCCTGCGCCGTGACCCTGGCGGTGCCCTGTTCCGGGCGAACGAAGAAGGGGAGGCCCACCTCCAGGGCCGGGCAGGCAGGGAGGGCGATGCTCACCCGCTGCCCCGTCACTGTCACGCGCACGGCGTGCACAGCACGCTGCGCCGTCGCCACCAGGGCGGGCGTCAGCGCCACCTCGACGCTGACGGCCTCCACGGGGCAGCCATGGTACCGCAGTTTTGCCTGCAGCGTGGTGCTGGGATCCGCGCTTTCCTCGCATGCCTCGCTTCGTTCCCGCGCCGCGGGCCGTGGGGTGGGCGTGGTGCGGAGGGCTAGGCCCTTGTCCCGGCCGGCCAGCACCTCCCTCACCAGGCCTGGACGCTCTGCGCCCTGACCTGGCATCAGCACCGGCTGCTCCTGGGGAAGTTTAGTGAGCGCCTCTGCGGCCGGCACAGCATGTGGAACGGGGCCCTGGCCTTTGTACCGCATGCGCGGCAGCTTGTACAGCGGGTTGAGGCGCAGCGCGCACTTGTGCGCCACCTCGCTCAGGACCAGCTGGATGGCGTAGAGCTTCAGGGGCCGGACCTCAGCGGCGTGGCGCAGGATGTCAGCGTGAAGCACGCAGTCCAGGACTGCGAAGGGCGGTGGAGGTGGGTGACATCGTGACGTTCGCGATTGATGAGTTACGCAGGGAGGGCAAGGCAGGGCAGGCACAGGCGGGCAGCCACCCTCCGGCGCAGTCAAACAAGACTGCAAGCTTCAGCTGAGCTGACTCAGTCCACTGCAAGCAAGGGATGCGGAGGCTCGACCCGGTTTTGTCCCTCCAAAATGAACAAACCTGATAACTACCCCGCCCTCACCTCCGCAGGCTGCACCCGTGTGGTCCGAGTCTCGCCGGAGGTCGCTGAGCCACATAGGAAAGGCCAGGAGCGACATCAAAGCGTCCCCGCTGCTGGGGGCTGACCCTTCCGGTCCAGCCTCCAGGTATCCCTTCACCGCAGGGGGCAGCGGCTCACCAGGAGACCAGCCATCTGGAAGGGGGACTGCCGCGTCCGCGCACACATTCAGGAAGACCTTATTGCCCGACTCATCTGACGTCTTGATCACAAACCTGAGGGGAGTGTGGGGTATGCAGGCTGGTAGGCTTGCCCTGATGCGGGTGTGGGGGCAATGTAGCTGGAGCAACTGCTGTGCGCATGGGTCTGGAGAAGTCTTGCGATGACCCACAGACTCGTACCCGGGAGTTGGGATCACTGTTCGCATCGCTCCTCCCTCCAGTCCAGGCACGAGACCCTACTTGCAACATTGGGGTAGTATTGAATGATGCTGGGCCAATGGATCCTGCCCGATGGATGCAAAAGGCATGGCGTTGACCAGGACCAGGTCGGGGTGCAGCAATGATCCCGCTGTTCACATGCGGAATGAAATGGTACCTGCATCGCAAGTTGAGCTACTTGCTCATTCGTGCTGTTCAGAATTGACTGCAGCTGAGATGCGGAAGGGTGAGACTGGGCAGAGGAGTGCATCGCACGGCGAATAGTTCCGAGGGCGTGAGACCTTCTTACTTTCTAGGTGCTCAATGGAGTATCGCAGCGTATATATGACAGCATCGGTAGGAGGGTTCAATTGTATTGATAGTACGGGGGCTGGTCTTGTGTTGTAGGTTTCGGTGCCGATCGGCATGAGATCTCGCGCCCCGAGTTGTTGGTCTAATAAACACTTGCAAGTTCTCTACAACATTTTATGCAAATAATGGACAATTCTCAAGTGCTTGTGCACACTGCAAGCTGGCATTGCATGAAGGCAGCTCGCACTATCGGCCGAAATGAGTCAGGGAAGGTCACACAAGGGTTCCAATTTGTGGCCACTTGGCAAGTCAAACCGAACCTGAGGGAGAAGGAGGGATACACTGTGACAACCATGACAATGATGATGTGCACACTCCCTTAAGCCTGCACTGATTGGCCTGAATCTTCAGCGCACGATCCCAGTGCACCCTCACCCCTCTGCCACCTGGGACTGCGAGGGCCCCTCCCAGAGATCCTTGGCCATCTCCTCTGCCCTGGCTTTGGCATCCTGGAGCTCCGGATGCTAGATACAATAGGAAGGTGGAGGGAGCATAGATGACACAGTCTGGAGGCCTCAACTCAAAATACAGGCCTTGAGCCTTCACCAGACCAACTGGGAAGCGTACAGAGCCCGATTTCGACGCTCATCTCATGCCACCAGGCATGCATTCATGGCCCTTCACCCCATAATTCACTGACAACTCTGTTGCCCACCAGCAGTTGGCTGTCCATCCAGGCGCTGGGGTAGAGGGTGATGTGGCAGCAGACCTGTGCCATTATCCTCGACTCCAGCGCCCTCCTCACATTGGGGTGGTAGTCCAGGAGCAGCCGCAGATCCTTCCAGCGGACCTGCGGCACATAAGCGGGGTGGGCCGGGTGCTGAGTCAGTTTGACAGACGCCCTAAAAATACAACGTCTGAGCGTGCGCCCATCGAAAACAGTCCTCAGAGCCCCTCCCCTCCCCCCTATTCGTGTTAATCGAGCCTTGCCTGCCAGCAGATGCAGGAGCTGAGGGTGCGCAGGGTGCAGGGCGAGCTCTTGAACGTCTCCACCAGGTCCTGCAGTACGACGGTGCTGCCAAGGAGCGCAGGGCCCTGCAGGGAGCCGGCCTCCACGTAGTGGTGCAGCGACACCACCTCACCTGGGAGGGGTGGCAGGGTGATGGGAAGCGAATGTGAGGAAAGCAGGAAACGAATTGACGTGCACAGCAAAGAGGTGCAGCACCGCCGCCGTTTCCCGTATCCCAACTTCAATCCTGCTGCAGTGCCCGCTGCATCACCCAGGGGACGGTGTCCTGACAAAGGGAAGAGCACCATCACACACCATCACACCTTCCAGCATGACCCAGCATTTCTCGGCCTTGTCTCCCTCCGACAGGATGTCCTCCCCAGGTCCAAAGCGAACCGGCTCGAATTTGGAGCAGAGGGTCCACTTCATGTTCGTGCTCATGTCCTCGAAAAAGGGAATGCGCCTGGGGTGGGGAGTGGAGGACCGGGGCCGTGAGCTGCCGGGAGGGTGTGACTCATCCTCAAACCTCCAAGAATCTGAGGAAATGGGACTCGTATCAGTCCTAGTACAGCATGCCGGGGTCTGGAGGAACCAGGATCCACCAACCCTTTCCAACTCACGCCATGGCTGCTTGGAGGGCATTCCAGGCAACCTCGTTCCTCAGAATGTGGGGCAACTCTCTGAAGAGGTGGGTGTCCTCGGAGGACTCCACATGGTGCAGCCACACCTGTTGGCAAGGGCTGGATTGAATAGGTGAGGGCACCACCATGGCATGGAGGGCAGCTCAGCAGCTTTTTCCTAGTATCCATCTGCAAGGTGACTTGGGTGACCCCATGTTCCATGAGTGCCACCAGTCCCACAGAGTATTCTTAGAATCCCATCATTTGTCACGCTGTACCAGCACTCTTCCACACACTGCTGTGCACACATCGCTGTCCCTCTCCAACCCCTTTGGCACCGCACACCTCGGCATAGAAAGACTTAATTCTGCGCTGGAGGTGGGAGGGAAGCCGCGTCCCCTTCATCCATCGGTCCACGGTGGTCAACTTCTTGCGGAACACATATGCGCGCCTGGCATCTTTGTTTGAGTTGGACAGGAGCTCACTGCAGGGAATGGGTGAGGGAGAGACCGGGCGGATCTGAAAGGTGTCAGGCCTTGTGCTGGAGCATGAATGGTATCTTGCTGGTTCACAGCGTTTGCACAAGCAAGCACAGCCAATGTCTCACAGCCGCCAAGCTTGACTACAGACCATCAGAGACTGCCAGCCACCCTCGACCACCACAGATCAGCATTCTTCAGACTCATGCACAGAATTGAGACCAAGATCCATCAGTTACTCCAGCCAACTTGCCTGATGGTAGACAGCAAGATACCAAAGAACATGATGCCAATGACTTCCACGATAATCACGACGATGGTCTCAACAAGTGTGGCAGGTGTCTGCCCGGGGAGGGGATGAGGAACAGAGACTCATTAGAGATCAGGCCGTCCGTTGCCCAAGACATCGAAAGCATGCTAGGATCACCAGCATGCAGAGGCTCTCACCACGTCGCCAAAACCGACGGTAGCAATCTGCAGGAGGTGTGGGCAGAGGAGGTGGGTCATCCATGTCTTGGGAAGCACATTGGAGCTCAGATATCGGCTGGGAGCTTGTACCACCTCCGATTCATCCAGCACGGCAGCTCCTTGACCAGAGGAGCATGCTGGCTTGGCAAACAACACAAGCCGAGTCCTGCGTTCACAAAAGTAAGACTTCAACACATCAGCTCCACTCACTGTGGTCAAGGCCCAGTATGTACCGACAAAGTAGCGCCAGACTTGGTCCACGTCGTGCTGCACTTCATCGGCGGTCAGGGCTGTCATCCCATCCTCAGAGTAGGACCGTACGAAGGGTGGGTAGTAGTTGGCCCAGGTGTTGTCAAAGCCCTGCGCGCCTGCCGTAAAGTTCCTGCGCAGGGGAACATGGATGAACTTTGTACTCCAAGAAGGGAAGGGAGCTGAAACTCTGTGTACGGCCTGGGAAAAGAAGCCGCCGACCTCGCCTCCTCACCACATGCAGCCCAGGAAGTTGACCAGGACCGCGATCACATAAACGATGTAGAAGAGGTAATGGAAGGTCGCGCTGGAGGCCCACTTCATCCACGAGGATTGGTTGAGGGGGGCGTATACCGCGTTGACCAGCAGCTTCCGGATCAGCTTCACGACCCGCAGGAAGCGGACAAGCCTGCGGAGGTTTGAGTGAAAGGATGACCTCTGGGCTTGCTTGGAGATCTGGTGACAAGCAGGACAAATCCTCGCTCCTCCGCCTGAGGGCTACTGGCAAACCCAGCCCACTTTCATCCACGCACCGCAGCGCCTCCATGATGAACAGTGCCACGGTGGGGTTGAACTCGTCGACGACGTGGCTGAGGAGGAGCATAAGCAGCTGCACCAGCCATGCCGTCACCGACAGGATGTCAAAGATGAATGTGTCCTGGGCAGGCGTGAGTGCAGGGGGAGAGACGGTGGGCGGCACATGTGCAGGGGCGTTCGGCGGACTGAGACCATTGCCACCGGCAAGCCTTTCAGTACCGTCCGAGCAACAGTCCAGAAATTAGGAGATACATGAATCTGTGGCGCACTATACACCTCCTTCCGCTTCGTTGCACGAAACTCAAATTCCAAACAGACGAGGCCTTGGCGCACTCACCCAGCCGACAACCCACTCTAGTAGCTCCCGTCCCTTCCCAACACCTACGTGCTGCATGTAGAACTTGGCGATGAGCTTGCCGTTCAGCACCAGGACCTTGCGCAGATTGTAGGTGGCGATGAAGCCGACGTGGAAGGACACGATCAGGTCGGCCAGGAAAAAGGCGCCCACGGTGTAGTCCAGCGCAGATGTCCAGTTCAGGACCAGGAAGGACGTCAGCATGCCGATGCTGATAGGAACCTGCAACCGGGAAAGTGTGGGGAAGGGGTTAAAAGAGAGGGGCCAAACGTGGATCGCGCATTGAGGCGACAAGGGTTGCAGCTTGGGCTGGGAGAGAGCCTGCACCATATGACTCTGGGCATGACCCATGACCCGTCCGCGCCAAGTCTCGCCCGAACCCCGCTCCGATCATTCCCCGGTCCCTTTCCCAGTAAACCCCTTGCCCACCGCAACACCCCCATGGAGACCCACCACAAAGGCAGAGTAGGTGAGGTCCAGCGCCAGGATCAGGCTGCTCCAGTACTTGTAAAAGGTGCTGTCCGGGCGGAAGGTGGGCATGCCCAGCACCGACTTGGACCTGGGCCGCTCGCCAGAGCTGCGACGTGGCCGGTTCAGCACGACCGGCTGCTTCACGCCCGTGGGCGGCGTGGCGCTGGCGTAGTGCCGGGGGGACAGCCCCGCCCCCGCCGCGTTGTGCACCGTGTAGAGGTCAGGGTTCTGGATCAGGGCGTCAAAGTCCACCTGGTCAAAGCTGTGGGTGCGGGTGACGAACCGGCGCAGGGGGGCGTCGTCTGTTGTGGGAGAAAGGTGGGCGGGGGCAGCGTGGAGACAAGGGAATGGGGATGCAAGGCGGCGTCGATATGCAACTTGGCATGCCACCCCTTGTTTTTTTCAGGCTCACAGGCACCATCCTCCCTCCAAAGCAACGTTAAAGGCGGCCAGTCCCCCTCCTACGACTAGGAAAACACCTTCCATAGCGGCAAAGCTATTCTCGTCATCAGACAGGCCGCTCCCATCCGTGGTGATGGAGCGTGAGGTGCGGAGGACGCCGGCCCGAGACCACTCGGGGGAACTGGGCTGGGAGGCGTCCTCGGGGTCGGAGGTCGATCCCAAGGACGCAACGGATCCAGTCCGGATGGATCTCTCGGAGCTAGAGGTTCCCAGGGGAAAGCGCGCACCAAACTTGAAAAACCTGCGGAACCCTAGTTGGGGTTAGCCATGCACAGGAGATACGGCACATGCAGGTATGGGGCAGTGCCATGCATCCCACATACTTTGGCATTTCAGAGAAGGTTTCTGAACCAGGAAGGCGTGATGTAGGCCTCGTGGAGCTTGGACGCACAGTACGGAGGGCGAATCACGTGGCTGTCGCCCGGGCTCCCTCTACCATGCGCCGGGCCAACTGATGAAATAGAAGCCCAGAAACTCACAGAAAATTTCAATAATCAAATGGAGCGCTTCGTGTCCGAGCTCTCGATCGCTCTAGCGGCGGCAATCGGGTGGTTGGTACCGGTTCAATGCCCCCCTTGCGGAGATCTCATCCTTCTTCCTCAGATCATCCAAGGTCTAGATGTGTCCCTGCCGTATGCATGAGGGAGAAGATGGCCTATTCACACTCTCGCAGCGAAATTAAAAAGAGCACCGTTCTACGACGCCGCAGCGCCTTGCCTCTTCAGCTCCTGCCAGAGGTCGGAGGGCACGCCGACGTTCGCCAGCAGCTGACTTAGCGCGCTGCCCTCAGAGGTGTCGACAAAGTCGAAGGGGACGCCGTAGGCTGCCAGGTGCGGACGCAGCTGCAGGCCTCCCTGCACCACCCTGAGCTCCAGCGGAGCCTGACCGGGCGTAGGCTGGCCAGGTGGAGGCTGGCCGGGAGGGATAGCGCCAGTGGTGCTCGCATGACTGCTGGGCGAGCGTGGCAAACCAGAGTCCTCTCTTCGACCCTGGGCCGCCCTGAGCTGCTGCAGGTATGTCGCATCGACGCAGGGGGGCAGCAGAGCCTCCGGGGCGTCTCGCGTCGGAGGCCCTGCGGTCGCCTGCCTGGGCGCCGGCCCTCCCGAGGCCACGCCGCCATCTGGCCCCGCCATGGCCGCAGTGCCATCCGCCTTCAGAGGCCCCGCGCCATCCTCAGCCTCACAATGGCGCCGCCCACCCCACCCCAGCTCCTCCCAGTCGTACAGGAGCGCAGAAGTGGTGCCCCCCGGCGGGTTGAAGTCCAGCAGCTTGAGCGTGCTCCTCCCCGAGCTCACATACACGTCAAAGGCGTAGTCGTGCAGCGGGAAGCTGGCGCGCAGGTGGTCGTCGAAGAAGGCGGCGACAAGGTGTAGCAGGTCGGCGCGCGTGCCGGGGTCCTGCATCCAGCCAAACTCCTGGGTCAGGTCGCGCTGGCTCACGCCCGCCAGCCGCCCGCCGACCACAAACGCCCGGAACTCGCGCCCAGGGTCCAGCGCCCGCCACCGCCGGAGCACGATGGCATGCGGGCAATCTGCCGGCGCGGCGGCAACGTCGTGAGCCACACGGTCCGAGGCTCGGAGGAGGAGCAGGACCTCGTCTGGGGAGGTGCAGGCCAGGGTGTTGCCGGGTGACAGCCAGACTGCGTCCTTGGGGCAGCTCCAGGTGAACTTGGGGTGCACGCGGCCCCCCAGCTCGGCGATGGCGGAGGCCAGGGAGGCGTGGAGGGTGGGGAGGGAGGCGGGAGGAGGGGTGCCGGAGTGGGAGCCGTCGCCCTCCTCGCTGTCAGACTCCCACCCCTGCTGGTCTGGGTCGGCCAGGTCCCGGGGTGCCCTGGTCCCGAACTACGCTCAAGGCAATGCGGCAGCAGGGTAAATGTATGATTCAGATTATTCTGCTTGCAAAATCCAACGGTGGGCTCCCAGCCACAGCGGAATGAGCCAGGAGCGGCAAGGCCCCATTCCCTCGTTCTCCTGCGCACCCACCACCATTGCCGATGCACGCACCGCTCGATTATCGCCCGAGGCAGACACCCCATCGCTGACGAGCCAGTTGCAAAGGTCTTTGTCCACAGAAATCAGTCGTGTCTCAAAGGTATGCCTCCTGTACACAGGCAGCCAGCGCTGCACCGCGCACTCCTCCAGTGCCTCCCGGGCGGGCGAGGCCGGGAAGGTCATGCCGGCAGGAGAAGCACCACCGGCATACACAGATGTCCACCTTACACACTAGAATTGCGTTTGGAATTGTTCGACCGGCCTTGCGTTACAGCTAGGGGCCATGCATGGATCGACGGCATGCCGCGTTTGGGCCCGGTTGGGGCGCCATTCCCAGCGATGCCCTCATCCCTGCCTGGCCCGGGACCGAATTGACCGCGTGGGGCTGCCCACCACCTTCTCCACCTCCTCGCCACCATCTGGCGCCCCAGTCCGTGCACTGCTGCGTGTGGGGCGGGCAGCCAGCCTCGCGCTCCGCCGCGTGACGCTGGGGCTGGCTGGCTCCTGTGAAGGGGCTGGGGCCGCTGCAGTCCGGCGCCGGGACGCCGCAGACTGCGTGGGCGCCGGCCGTGGCTTGGCGGGGGTCTTGGTGGCGCGCCCTGGCCGCGACGCCGCAGACTGCGATGGCGCCGCCTCCTCAGCCGGAGCGGGCACCTCCTCAGCCGGAGCGGGTGCCTCCTCGGCCGGAGCGGGTGCCTCCTCGGCAGCAATGGGCGCATCCTCGGCAGGTGGGTGAGACTTCGCCTTGCTCACCGTCTTCCTGCGTCCCGCCGCCGACCGCGCCTCTTGTCTGCATATGAAGGAGGGGGTTGACAGCCATGAGCTTGTTTGAGAGGTGGTTGCAGGAGGGCGGCGTCCAGCAGTAGACATGATTGTGTCCCATTCCCCTGTCGCTCCAACATCACCTATAAAGATCTCACAAAGAGACACTCATGTCCTCAGGACACGACAGCAGGCCCTTCACCCAGCAGCTCAGCATCAAATCCACCCCCATCACCCTCTCACCGGGCAGGAGAGGAGGAGGCAGCGGCGTTCGACTTGGTCACCGCCCGCTTGGCTGACATCCTGCCTGCAGGCCGGGCGGGCAGCTCCTCCAGGGCGTCCAGGAACTCATCGGCGCCCGCATCTTCTTCCTCCATGCCTTCTTCCACGACAGGCAGGGGACTCAATGGGGCTGCGTCCTCGCACCGCGCCCGCTTGCCGGGGGACTGCCCCTTCACGACGTCCCTGTCCCGGCCTTCTCCTTCAAGGACCGCGGTCCGGGCCGCCAGGGCGACCTCCCTCGCCGCCAGGTCGGCTTCTCGCGCCTCCAAGTGGCCCTCCCGCGCTGTGGCCTGGGCCTCGCGCGCCTCCAGCGCAGCGCCTCGCTCCCGCAGCCCTGCCTCGCCGGCGGCAACCTCGGCCTCCCGCCCGGCCAGCAAGCCATCGCGACGCTCCAGCTCCTCGGCGATGCTGGCCAGGCCCATGGCGCGCCCGGTCAGCGCCACCTCCTCCTCGCGCAGCGCGGCTTCGCGCGCCCCCAGTCCAGCAACCCGCGCCTCCGCCTCGCCGCGCGCGACCTCCAGCTCGGCGCGTCGGTCTCGCAGGTCCCGCAGTCCCGCCTCGAGCTCCGCCTCGCGCGCCACTAGCGCCGCCTCGCGCGCCGCCAGGCGCCCCTGGCCCTCCTCCAGCCTGGCCAGGCCGGCGGAGCGCTCCGCCTCCAGCACCTCGCTGCGCGCCAGCATGGCCCGCGCCTCCGCCAGCTGGCGCTCCGCCTCCTCCAGCGCGTCGGCCGAGGCGCGCAGGCCGCGCTGCGCCTCCGCCGTCCGCTCCTCGGCGGCCGCGGCCGCCGCACGGCCTCCCTGCCGCACGGCCTCGGCGGCAGCCTCGGCAACCTCCGCGGCGGCGCGGGCCTCCTGGAGTTCGCTGCGGAGGGCCGCCGACGCGGCCTCCGCGCTGGCCAGCCCGGCGTGGGCCTCCTCCACGGCGAGCTGGGCGGCGTCGGCCGCGGCCTTGCTCTCCTGCCTGGCCACCTGCAGGCGGGCCTGCAGCTCCTCCACAGTTTCCCTCAGCGCCGCCAGCTTGGCCTCCGCCTCATCCCTGGCAAGCGCATCCGGGGTGGGCTGAGGTGAGCAGGAGACCGTCGCGGGTGCCGTTCCAGCCAAGATTCCACAATCTGACCCTGGTTGGACTGCCTCAGCCACACCACCGCCCCCCGACCCCACCCAGGAAGAGTACCTGGCGGCCCGCTCCGATTCCAGCAGGGTCTGGGCCACTGCAGCGCGGCGAGCCTCCTCCGCCACCGAGGCCGTCAGCCGCCGCTTCTCCTTGATGGCGGCGGCGTGGGCCTGGTCCAGGTGACCCTCCAATCCCTGTGAGTGGTTGGGGAGCAGAAGATGGATGAAATCTGACCTCAACAGAAGCACCGGCTGTGCCAAGGGGGTTCTGGCTGTGAAACTGTAAACACCCAACCTCTCTGCCCTCCATAGACCTCCTGTCACCTGGTAGAACTTGCGTGCTGTTTCATACTCATTGAAGAGATCATCGTATTGCTGCTGCCAATCCAGGACCTGTGCGAGGGTTGGAGGGGCTGGCTTCAGGCAATATGAAGCACATCCACTCCACCTCCATGGTGACCGACGAACAATTCGGCAGCCAGTGCCAGCCCCACGACTGATCCTACTTTGGACTCCAGCTCGGTGACTCGGGCAGCCAGCTCCTCGGCCTCTGCAGGGGCGACGCGGTCTAGATCGAGAGCCCCCTCTTGCCTGCGAACGCGGAGGTTCAAGTGGTTTGTTTCTATGGAGGCAATGCGATCGCTACACTCAATCCCACAGGCGATTATGCAGGGTACTCAGGGTCCTTATAACATTCCGAATCCATTGCCAACTCACTGCAGACGAGCCCAGGCGCTTGGAGTGGTCTGCGCCCGGAACATCGTACTCCTTGGCTATCCTAGTGAATCCTGTTCCTCGGGCACATCGTCACCCTAAGGATCTATTGTAACTCCAACATGCTATCTTTGTTCACTGCAAAGCTGCAATCCTTGGCTCAGAGTGCCCTTGGGCCATTTCGCTCTGCAACATCGTTTCAATCGGCGCGCGCTCGCCCCGCCACCTCGGATCACTGTATGTTTGGGCAAGTATCTGGAGTCTCTCTCTCCTTGCAATCAAAGTGGAGGGCACGCACCCACTCATCCAAACACAGACTTGCTCTCTGTGTTCTCACGTGCCCCACTGACCAGGTCCAGCCAAAAACCATGCGTCTGGTTGATCACCCCCAGCGTCTGTGCACGGTCCACGGGCTGGTCATCGAACCCAAAGGTGTTGGCAGGCTTTCCATCGAGGAGCTTGGAGTCCCTGAACCAAACACGAATCCTCTCCAGTTCCCCCGGGAGCTCCCTGCAATAGAGAGTGCTCGAAGTAGGGTTCTTGGACTACGTACGCAGCACTGGCGGTCTCCACCACCCTTGTTCCACCCAGGACATCCAACTCACCTCTCCACGTCCTCGATGTCATTCAGTCTCTCGGCCAGGGGATCGGCCTGTGAGATGACGATGACCTTCCAGTCAAGCTCTCCCTGGTCGATCAGAGCGTAGGCTCCTGTGGCATGTGACATGCGGAGGGGGTAGGGGTTGCAGTGTTCTGCGGTTATCGCAGAAGCCCCATGCTACCCTGCCAGTCCCAAAGGACTCGACCTCTCAGCAGGCGCAGGCGCAATGCAGACGCAGTATCACTCACCCAGAACCTTGACTGGATGGATGCTGCCAGTCTCAAGTGCAGACCCTCCAATCTCAACCACGTCCGTGGGATCGTTATCACCCTGCAACATGTTGACATGGTTGGGGAGGGGTTAGACCATGTCCTCGCCTTGCAGCCTGGCTACTGGCACGGCATCGTGAGTTGTGCAGCCCTGAGCCTCCCTTCATTCGAAATGTGGTTGACGGGCATGAGCATAAGCAGCACCGTCTGCTTTTCAGGTGAACATCCTTCAGAGCCGCCGCGCACCGTGGCGTTTACATCAGGGTTGAGGTAGTCCGGGTCCTCCCACGTCTGGGGCAGGAGACCATAGTTCCACGGGATGTCCGAGTGGTAGTAGCGGAGAGAGCCGTTGCTCGTCAGGTCCTGCTGAATGGGGTTCAGCGCCTCCTCCTGTCGTGATGTGTGGGGTGTGGAATGGCTCGTGATGAGGTGGCGTGGATGCTCCTTCCTCCCGGTCCGCACAGCCTCCCAAGTATTTTCCTGCCTGCTTAACACCAACCACAGCGCACCGTCTGGACTTCATACTTGGCTGCGGTGTTCTTTGGGATCTCAACGATGAAGGTGTGCAGGTCCTTGCCGGCGTTCAGGGGAACGCTGTGCCAAGGGGATACGGTGAAGTTGTCGGCCGTCAGGAAGAGGCGATACCCCCATTCCTCCGGTTCACCCTGAAGGTGGGGAGGGTGGAGGTGGGACGGCACTTGGCTTATCCAGTATCGTAGTTTCGCTGAAACATTGCCTTGATCATCGATCACGCCTACTCACATCAGCCTCGCTTCCCCAAGAAATGGATTCGAGGGTCGACTCGGCCGCCCGGCAGGATCCGGCACATGCGAGGATGCTGGCCACCAGCAACTTCGTGGTCCACGCACCCATAGCGGCAACCTGTGGAAGCGATTGGACATTTGAAGGTTCAACGGCATCGCGGTAATGTCTGCATGGGTCCCAGGTGCTCAGTGTGAGACATCGATCTGCCCGACATTTCCAGGATCACAAAACAGTGCATGCGCCGCTTCGCTGCAGACACTTACCTGATGGATTTTGCAGTTGGAAGCCCGATATATGCACGGTGACCCTGACTTCAGATCAATTTAAGCTTCATTCTCGAGTTTACAGAGGGCTGTCAGCGGCATCTGCGCAAGATGCTCTCGCCATGATGCGAATAATTAAACGCACTCGTCGCCACATGGTTTGGACCCTCCGAGCACCCTCCCGAGAGGTCGTAATCACCAACGTGGTTGAGCACCTTGGAACTGCAGGGCGACCCATCCGACCATCCCCGCCATGCCATGCCACGCACCTCCCTTCGCGCACATTGTTGCAATGGACTGGTCAAGGCAGGAGAAAAATTGTGCACGGGGTTGGGAGGCACTCGAGCCAAAGAATTGGTGCAAGCTGAATCAGAACAGGGACAGGTCCTCGGTGTTTTCCCGCTTCCCGCTGACCAGGTCGAGCCAGAAGCGGTGCGTCTCCTCGATCACATCCAGGGCAAAGGCCCGGTTCTGGGCCTTGTTGTCGAAGCCAAAGGCATTGGCGGGTTTGCCGTCCGGGATCTTGTAGTCCCGGAACCACTCGTACACCTTTTGCAGCTCGCCGGGGAACTCGCTGTTACGGGGGTAAGGGATGGGCTAGGCATTTGCAGGGAGCAGGGGTTCACACTCGGGCTGGCAGTGGGTAGGTGGCCAGCGCCCGGGATGCATGCCGGACCAGCACAACTCATGCAGGGCAAATGCCGCACCAGAACCTGGTCCACTACCGACAATAAACTGCTCCCCAGCCCACTCACCGCTCGACGTCCTCAATGTCATTGACGCTGTCGGCCTTGGGGTCGTCCGCGCGGATGGCGATCACCTTCCAGTCCAGCTCACCGTCGTCGATCATGGCATAGACACCCAGGACCTTCACCTTGTACACGCCGCCGGTTTCGGCGCTCGCCGACCCGATCTCCACCACGTCCACTGGGTCGTTGTCGCCCTGCAGAGAGAGGGGGGGCCCTGGCATCATGATTCATATGCAGTGCTCGTGCGGCGGCTGGGCGGTGGCTCGCCTTGATGAATGCAAGTAATCAGAAGCATGGCATGATCTGATTGAAAAAACGGGACACGAGATGTGGTCTCTCAAATTTGCAGAATACCTTAGGTTCATCACTTGGAAAACCATCGGTGGTTTTGTGTGTGTGAATGGGTTGTTCCTTTCATCGAGACCCGATTGGTGGAGGGTGAAGAGGATCTACTCCCAATGGCAGCCTAGCATGCAGATGCCCACCCCGTTGGCTCCATCAACATGTGGGCAGCAACGTCCAACTCACAGCAGCATTGGTGTCCCTGTTGGTGTGTGCAGGGTCCTCCCACGTCTGGGGGAGCAGGCCATAGTTCCAGTCGATGTTGTAGGGGTAGAAGCGCAGCTTGCCCTTCTTGATGTCTTGCTTGATGGGGGTTCGAGGCTCAGCCTGGTCGAGGGCCGGCGTGACAAGGGGTGGGCCAGCCGTTTCACACAGAACTGGAGTCTCTGGTCAAGCCAAAGGTGACAGTGCAGAGGCTGGGTGCTACCATACACCGCAGGCATTCAGGGCTTGCAAAACCGCACATGACCATGTCAGAAAGAATTGTCAGGGGAGGCACACCACGATATAATCCGCACACCACAACCCCCCTGGATCCTCGCGCACCGTGGCGACCTCGAACTTGGCCGAGGTCTGCTTGGGGATCTCTGCTACAAAGTTGTACAGGCCATCCCCGGCATGGAGGGGGATGTTGTGCCATGGGGACACGGTGGTGGACTTGTGGTTGAAGAACACCCGGTAATCCGGGGTGGTGGGGTCGCCCTGCGGGATTCACCGGCATTTCCGGCATCAGAACGACACCAAAAAGCAGTGCTTGAGCTTCGTGATCCAACGTACTCTCCAGACGCGCACCCACCTTCTTCTCGGTCTCCAGGCTCGAGCGGACGCAGGTGGCATACAGCCGCGGCGCCCGGACCTGGCACCTCAACCCAAAAGACCGACCCAGAGCCTGCACATGATAGATGGTTGTGGTTTGATACTCTACATCGCCGCAGCACACTCCTGGCTCCAGCCACCCCCTGCGCCAGCATACCCGCACGGAGGTCGGCGCCCGGGGCTGGGCAATCGCCGCCTTTCCTACACCTGCAAACACGGATGTTGTCAGGGCAGCCATGATGAAGACAATGCAGCTGAAGAGTGCTGAACTGGTTCGAAGTGATGGTGGGTTTGGGCGCACGGATGCACGGGCGCCGGCGAATATCAACACACGTGACTTTCCTATGGTACTGGCAATCTTGGGGGCGGGGGTGCTCTCGCAGCATGCATGAATGGGAGACATGTGAAGCGCTCACAAAGCTCCTGGTGTGAACTGTGCTGCATGATGGTTGCATGGAAAGACCCTTGGATGTTGAAGGGGGAAAAGGAGGCAAGGGAGAAGCGCATGCATGCTGTGGAGGCGGGCTTCGACAAAGCGAGCAGCAAGCTGGAGCCGGGGTAGAGCCGGCCCCCAATCTCAGCAAGTATCACGTGATGGATGCAGGTCCTTGACCCAAGGCGCCTCCTGCATGGTGATGTCAGGTTGCTGCAGCGGCGTCAGGGTGCTCTGAGGTGCCGCTTCGGCCCCCCTGGGCCCTCAGGACGTCGCTGTGGCGGCCGGGCGCGGATCCAACAGTGGCTGCACGGCCTCCTCGTCCCCGAGCAGCACGGCGGCGGTGCGTTCCCGCGCCTCGCGCCGCTGCTTCTCCAGGCGCTCCCAGTAGGCCACCGCGAAGCTGCAGCCGCAGATGATAACCGCGCCCAGGAGGGACAGCCAGTCCGGCGCGTCGTGGAAGACCAGGACGTCGGCGGCCAGCCCCCAGATGACGGAGAGGTAGGACATGGCGATGGCGGGCGCGGCCTTGGCGCGCTGCAGCGCCGCGGTCTGGGTCACCTGGTTGCCGTAGCCCATGAGGCCGTTGGCGGCCAGCAGGGCCAGCGCCGAGGCGGTGCGTGGCAGCATCCACTGCCCCAGCACCGTCACCGCGATGGCGGAGCAGAGCGTGGACACCGCGCCCATGGAGAAAATGATGGCGGCCATGGACTCGGTGTTTGTGTTCAGTGCGCGCACCGCCATCTTGGCCAGGGCAGAGAAGAGGGACTGGGTGATGCCCACCGCCAGTCCCAGGATGCTCACCGTCCCCTCCGACAGGCCAAAGAGCCAGGGCGGCTGGGCCACCAGCAGCACGCCGAAGATGGACACGGGCAGGGCCACCACCAGGCCCGAGGAGGGCCACTCGGCGAGCAGAAGGGGGGAGAGGAGGGCCGCCCAGAGTGGAGCCAGGAAGGCAAGCACATTGGCGTCCGCCATGGTCAGCAGCGTCACTGCAAGGAGTGGGTGGGTGGGTGGGTGGCGGATGACAACACTGTGTTTGTAGGGGATCAAAGGAGCGAGGGCGGGGCAGGGGTCAGCGGTGGGAAGAATAGCATGGGATGCATGGCCGCGGCGACGCCATGGCTGAGGGTCAGCGGCGCATCACATTGCCGAGGCGAGACACCCCAAGCCCAATCTCGAGCGGAGCGGGAGCAACCTTTAACACACCCCTTGCACCCTGCACACCTGCGTAGTAGAGGAGGGAGACAGAGCCAAAGCCCAGGACGCCGCGCAGGACGTAGAGCCAGCGCCGCTGGTCGCCAAAGGGGTTGACCTTCTGCCGGACCAATACCGGGACGGTGAAGGCCAGGAGGGTGAGGGAGCGCACCAGCACCACCTCGAAGACGGGGACGCCCTGGCGGGCTGCGGAGGGGGATTGCAAGGGCAAGATGGATGGGAAGACCATGACAGGAGCTGGGAGAGGGCACCCTTGAAGTGGCTCATGTCATGCCTCTCCCCTCCCCACCTACGAATAGAGAATGGCTGCACCTCCATCTACAAGCTGAGCAGGACAACAGCAGGACAACAGCAGGACAAGCGGCCCCAACCTCTCGACCCAGACTCAGCATCCAAAATTGCAAGAACCCTATTCTTTCGTTGCACCGTATTCCCCACCCTTACCAAGGAGCTTGGCGCAGAGGCTCATCCCGGTCCCGAAAAAGGTGGACAGGACAAAGAGCCAGAGACCCACCAGCTCCCGGTTCCCGCCCGCGGCCCGGTACACCGCTGCATGCCCAGCCTCGCGCAGTTTGGCCAGGGAGGAGGTCTTGTGCATGCTCCCATTCAAGCCATGGTCCGCGGGCAGGGCCGGGCGGGGGGGGGTGTCGACCTGCAAGGGACGGCACCCAGATGCTGAGCTGCCCAGCCACATGCAGGGGTTAACATAAAATTGGCACACATCAGAGTCACCCACCATGCGATGAGGAGGCCGAGGTCAGGAGCGAGGGGGGCGGCGAAAGCCCTAGAGCGTGCGTATGCGGCAAGGTTTGGATTCGCTACAGGCTCGCGCCACGACGGGGATGACCCAGGCGACCTAGAATGTGCTGCAAGGGAGCAAGTGCTCGTCGTACTGCAGGTGATCACTCTGCGGCCGTGTCCGTCTCTGAGGGCGGTGGTTAATGGCTAAAGATTCCCTCGGCTCCGAGGAATCGCGGTCAGCCCCCGGGCGCTGAACGCGCCGGGGGCAGCTCTCGTGAAGTTGCTGTGTACAGGTAGTTCCGAGCCAAGGAGAGCGAAGCAGCAAGGAGGTTCTGGGAGGAACATGGCCAAAGAACAGGGCAACAATCAGCAGTACGTCATGTTTCTGGGTTGAGTGGGCAGCGCGGGGATGACCATGCCTGGGAAGGCGGGTCTACTGAGGAGGAGAACCCCTCGACGCTGCCCTAATGACCAAGGTGCCGGCCGCCCAGTTCCGCCTGGTGGCCGCGGCGGCAGGTCGAGGAAGAGCGCGCCCTGCGTCCACGGAGGCCTTCACTGGGCGCCCACCAGCGTCGGCGCCGGCGCGGGGCCGGCGCGGGGCTGAAGGGGCGCGATGTGTACGACGCGCACGCCGTCGCTGCGCGCGTGGCGGTAGGCGTACGTGAAGTTCCAGCCCACTGCCGCGGCACCCAGCGCGCCGCAGCGGTCCGCCGCCAGCACCGCGCCGACGTAGCCCGGCACGCGGTCGGCGATGCGGCGCAGCGCCTCCTCCGCGGCCGCCGCCGGGCCCGCGCCGGCGCGCATGCTCTCCACCACCTGGTAGCAGGGCAGGAAGCGGAGGTGCACGTCGCCGTCCCCCGTCGCACCGCACGCGCCGACGGCGCTGTCGGCGTAGGCGCCGCCGCCGGCCACCGCCGCATCGCCCACGCGGCCGGGAACCTTGTGCGCCGCGCCGTTGGTGGAGGCCCCCGCCGCGATGCTGCCCCGCCGGTCGATCGCCAGCAGGGCGATGGTGTCGTGCGCCGTGGGCGAGGGGAAGGGCGTGGCGGTTCGGTTGGGGGGTCGTCCGTGCGACGCCGTCGCTGCCTGCGCCGCTGCTGTCAACGAAGAAGACGCCGCGGTTGCCGCTGCCGGCGGGCTCGGCGGCACCAGCTCCTCCACATCCACGCACTGGTCGGTGCCTGACCTCGCCCCCGGCGCCATCGGCCTGACCTTGCCGCGCGGCAGGCTGTAAGGTCCGCAGCTCCGGGCCGGGTCCGGGCACACGTCGCGCCGGAAGTTGGGCTGGCAGCGGTCGGCGCGCCAGGCGGCGTGCTGCGCCGCGGAGGCCTTGGTCGACAGGTCGTCCAGCTTCATGCCCATGTCCATGGCAAACTGGGTGGCCTGCAGCCCGGTCAGCAGGGAGTGGCGGGTGGTGCGCAGGACCATGCGCGCCGCCGACAGAGCGTGCTTGACATGGCGCAGGTCCCTGCGGTCGGAGGAGGAAGAAGGGGGAAGCTGATGGGGGTCAAGTCTCGGTCTTAGAGGAAAAGAAGCGGCTTGCACCGTGCGTGGGACAGGGCTTGAGGGGCGTGTGCATTGAAACTGGTGACGGGGATGATAGTTTCTTCTGGGTGGCAGCCCGGCCACATCAAGGGCTCCAGGACTTGGCGCAGGCCTACAGGGCTGTACTTGGAGGCTAACACAGGCTACCCGGGCTCAACACAGTGTCCACAGCTCGATCTACCCCAATGCTGGCGCACAGCACTCACCCCACGGCTCCCATGTCCATGGTGTCGCCGTCCATGATCATGGCGTCCAGGGTGGTCTCCCCGGCCTCGTCGGGGCTGCCCCCGTATCCCACGGTGCCATCGCACTGATCATCCTCGCATTGGGTGGCTCCCTGTGGTGTAATGGGGCATTTGTAAGGCGAGGGTTGCGGCGCACGACCACCAGTCCGTCCGCATGCACGACCACGGGGGGTCGACAGAGCAAGTCCGCGCAGCTCCTCGGCCAGGGTCGCAGGCCGTGCGGCAACCTCGCCCACCCAGACGCCAGCCCAACTCCCCATTTCCGCACCATTTCGATGGCATCCATGGCGGGGTGCTTGGCGTCCTCGGCTGTCATTGCCTCCCAGGCCGATTCCGTGGCAGCGGTGAAGGCCCATGTGTTGGCTACCAGCGGCAGGTCCGCTCCGCACTTCGTTGGCTCTGCCAGATCCCACATTCCCATTACAAGCAGGGCGGCGCACAGCGCCCTCATCGGGAGCGCGTGGCCTCCCGGCCTGGGGGACGAGAGTCCTGGGTGCGGCAAGGGTTTTCGGACACCGGCGCCGCCGATCCGTATCACGTGAGGCTTGCCAAGGCGATTGCAGCTGTATTCCTGGGCACTCAATTTGATGCACGCGCAGGGCAGGGGTGTCAAGCCGGTCCGTCGGACAGGTGATGGCGTTGCGCATCTCGGCAGGACCGCGCGCCCAGAGTCTTTCGGCGCAGCCGAGAATGGAGGCAGGGAAGAAGGGCAGGCTGGGCAAAATACATGTGCTAGGAATCCATCGAAGGAGGGGACTTCCGGGTGTACGCGCGTTTCGACTCTTTCAAATTATCATTTGGGGCCACCTTCCTCTTCCTATCAGGTCCTGGCTTCCTTCGAGGGGCCTCCTGCTGCTCTGGGGTGACGTTGGGCGGCAAGGTAGCTGCACTGGGCGGCTGTTGTTTTGAGGCCGGGCTGGGCGGGGCCTGATCTTGGGAAACTTGTGCGGGGGGGCTTGATGTACAGACATCCCCTGTGCCATCTGACGCCTGCAGTCCTGTCCTGAGGTTGCTGTCCTCCCACACGGCCGCACGGTGCTCAGGTGTGTCGCCAGGCAACAAGAGGGGCCACGCCTGTGCCTTGGTCCTTGGCAGCAAAGCGGGACTTCCCTGGTGCTGGATCTGCTGCGGAGTTCGCTGCCGCTCCAGCGCCAGCCGGAGCTCGTCCAGCCTCGTCAGCACGGCCACATTGTGGGCCAGTGCCAGCTGCTGGGCAGCTTCGTGCCTCCTGCAGGCGTCGAGCTCTCGCACTGCCATGGCCCTACACATGCCCGTTAAAGCGAGGCTGATCGATCAGTTTCAGCACCGTCCTGCCGGCAGAGGGACCGGTGTAGCCCACCAATGTCTCCACCAACCGCCCACCTCTCCAGCTCAGCAAGGGGAGCAGCAGCGGTACGGCCGCGAGCGCCCCTCGCCAGCTTCAGCGCGGCTGCTCCCAGCCAGCAGACCCTGGAAGCCACCCTGAGGTCGAGCAGCAGCGCCCTCGGCACCACCCAGCTCAGCCAGGCGGGGGCACCCAGGTACACCTGTGGTGGCGAGGCGCCGAGTGAAGACTCCTGCTGTCGTCGCTGACAGTTGTAGGACTGGCTCGGCATTCCGGACGGCACCCGGCGCTGGCCCACGCCTCACCGTGCCTCCCTCCCCCAGCTGGAGGTAGGGTGCCAGGTGCGTGAGCAGGGCCCTCTCGGTCGCCAGGCTGGCCCCCAGGGCGAACATGCCCAGGGTGCGGGCGCGCCGCCCCCCAAGGAAGCCGCCCACCACCCACACCCCCGCGAGCAGGGCCAGGAGGTGCCAGGCGTTCCCCTGCCCAGTCTCGTGCCCCAGCATTCTGAGCACGAGGGCCTCGGAGCGGTGCTGGTAGGAGAGCAGGGCCTCCACCAGGGAGCGCAGGCCCTCCGAGGAGGCCGCCACGGCCCTGGAGCGGAAACGGATGAGCGGGGTGGTTGACTGAGGCAGGAGCATCTCTTCCAGAGCCTCCCCACACTTGCCCTCGACATGGCCGGCGGGAGTTGGGATTGTCACCCAAGCGATGGTGGAATCCTGGGCGGTGCACAAGTCTATGCCCGCCGAGCCTACACCCCGCTGCCCCATGCCGGCGCGACAGGTCACCGTCCCGCGTGCCAACACTTCCCGCCCCCATCGGCACCCAGCCCCACACCCGAGGTCTGCAGTCAGCCGCCGCTGCGCGGCCGCGGCCTCCTCCTGCATGGCCTCCGCGGCGCGCGCCCTGGCCTCCGCCCCCGTCAGCACGGAGTCCAGCAGCTCCCGCCCGCGGTGCACGCTGTGCAGCATCGCCTCCTGGCCGTCCCGCAGCTGTTCCTGACGCTCCAGGGCCGCCGCCTGGATGTGGGCTTGGAAATCTTAGGTGTGAGAGAGTGGATGAGGTAACCCCTTTGGCTGGCGAATCCGCACAACTTCAAACATTGTCAATGTGTGCATGTGGTGGGCTGTCCTGGGTGGATGAGAGTCTGTAGGGTACCCAGCTGTTGCAGAGGAGGTGCCAGCCAAGGCCCAGATGAACTCACTGACTCGTCACCAGCATGTCCTGGGCAGTCCCTGGGACACAGCCCTCCCAACAACCCGCCGCCGTTTGGAACCCGGAGCGCCATGTGTCCCCTCCCCCCTCCCCCCATCCAAAGCCCCACCTGCAGGACCAACGTCTCAGCCTGCTGCTCCCTGAGACCCGCCAGGCGGCGCCCCACCTCCTCCCCCGCCGCCGTCGCCGCCTCCCGCGCCCGCGCCTGCCCTTCGAGCACGGCGTCCAGTGAGGCGCGCGCGGCGTGCGCGCCCGCCTCCAGCCCACGCGTCGCGCCGTGTATGGCCTCCGCCCGCGCCTCCAGCCGGTCCAGAGCGCCCTGGGCCTGGCCCGCGCCCCGCGCCAGCCGCGTGAGCAGGCGCTCGGCGTGCGCCTCGAAGTCCTGGTTCTGCAGGTACACGCACATTGCGTCGGCGTGGGTCAGGAACTCCACGTACAGCTGCCAGTCCCGCCCCGGCAGCGCGTCCAGGCACGGCTTGAGCGGCGCGGCGGCAGGGCAGGGCGCGGGGCGGCCGCCGTGCGTGGCCACCTGGGACTGCACCAGGCGCAGCGCCAGGCGGGCCTTGGCCTCGGGGGCCAGGCCCCGGCAGCCCGCCTCCAGCTCCGCCACCGCGCGGCTGAAGCAGTCTGTGCCCAGCAGGCGGTCCAGCAGGGACTCGGAGGCGGCGGCGGCGGGGAGCGCCGCGCTGAGCTCTGCATGCACAGGAGGATGGAGGGGTGGAGGGCAAGGTGGGAAGCCGTTGCCATGCGAAGGCCCCCGGCCTTCAGTTCATCAACCTCCCCATTCCCCCCCGCCCATGCCTCCCCGTGCCCCACCTCTGCCCTCGTCGAGCGAGGACTTGGTGGCCAGCTGGTACTCTGGGAAGCCATGGATGCAGGGTAATGCGTGAATGACGATGAAGCATGCGAATGCAATGCCGGCATGGACAGAACGGAGCCGACCGTTGCCGTAACGCCATGGCTCGAGGGGTTCGAGGGAGGACCCGAGGCCGGCCATGACAGCCTCAAGGAGCCAACCCGACTTCATATCATATAAATTCAATCTTATTCTGGCATGCTTAGTGTGACAGAGTGTGGTTCATCGACGAGAGGAGAGCGTTGTGTGAACTGTCCTCATGTGACGGCCTGGAAATTGGATGGCCTCGAATGTCATGGAGGCCACCATACAGCCAGCTCGCTGTAAACCAGGATGCGGAGAATTAATCACGTCCTAAAATGCGCTCCTGAAGCAATCGACTGCATCGGCTACAGTGCGGGTGCCCTCATGACTCGTCGTCTGCCGAGGCGCCTGTCCTCCACCAATTCCGGGATTACAAGCATTCCCACAACTACCCCAATAGCAAGCTACAGACACCTGTGACGACAGATCTAACCTTCTTCATCTTAGCCCTGCATCACATTTGTACATTATCTCCCATTTTGATCGGCGTGTACGCGGTGGGTCTGCTTCAAGATATTGTCGCTGTTGCATTCAAGTTCCAACTCTTGGCAAATGCTTCCCGCCTTTTCGATACCGACTCAAAACCCGGGCAAACACCTGTCATCGTCTGCTGGCGCCATCACGAGTGCGCGAGGAGGACTCCTGTCAGCCGGCTTCTGGGGTGATCGTTAAATTTACTTCACCGATGTTCTGAGGCACCCCGAAGGCGTAAGGGCGCTGGCCTCCCCGTGCGGTACCGGCAAGGATGTCGGCAAACCTCGCCCTCGCCCTGAGCGATCTGGGCACGTATGCCGATGCGAAGCTGGCCAACATTGACTCCTTGGTCGCAAACCACGCGGCTTGGATCGCAGAGGCCTTTACATCGCTGAGCACTGCGCGTCGGACGGAGGGGAAAGCTGAGCCCGAGGTACCTGCCCTCGCCCCGCCCCAGGTCCGGCAGATTCACCCCGGCACTATCTCTTTCGCGGGTTCACATGAGAATAGCGTAGTAATCACATCGCTTCCATCCACCCCCCACAGGCTGTCAAGAGGAAGCCCGGGCGACCTCCCAGGATACCCAAAGGAGGATTCCCCACCAAACCACCGTCTGAGGCTGTCGCAGAGCAGCCCGAGCAACCTCCAGCGGAGAACCAGGCACCCGAGCCTGTCAAAGCCCCGCGCGTCACTCGAAAACGTGTGGCAGAGTCGGCAGAGGCCCCAGCTCCGCTGGTCGCTGTCGCCGAGCAGGAGGATGCGGCGTCTCCGCCTGCCCGGCCGACCCGGCGCAGTGCCCGGAGCCAGTCTGGCGGTGCACAGCAGAGCACAGCCAAGAAGGGTGGGTGAACTGCTTGGCCCTGGTATGTTGAAATGTGCCCTTTGTTGCCCTTGCACACCCCAGTCATCAATCCCCATCCCTGAACCTCAGCAGCAGGTGGCACCGCTGCACCAGGTCGGACGACCCGGTCCTCAGTCCTCAGTGCGGCATCAGCGGAGGGGGAGGAGCCATCAGGCGACCCTGTGCAGGAGATGGAGGTGGGCGGTGGGAACCCTGAGCCTCCTGCCCCCTCTGCAGCCGAGGACCTGTCCCCCTCCACCACCGGCGAGGCTGCAGGAAAGACGGACTCCCCCGCTCCAGCCGCAAAGAAGCGCGGTCGCCCCAGGGCGACCGCCAGCAAGGTCAAAATGTCGAGGAGGCGCGTGGACGAGGCGCCTGCCACCCTCGAGCCAGACACTGCTGCGGGTCCCGGGCCAGCGCTGGAAGCTCAGGCTGCTTCCCCGGTGCGGGTGCAGCCAGACGGCGGCCGGGATGGGCCACAGCGCGGCACAGCACCGACCCTCGATGAGTATGCCGAGCAGGGCGAGCAGGGCGAGCGGGGCGGCCGCGGCCCCAGCCGTCTGCTGAGTCCTGCAGCCGATCCCGTGAGGCCCGCCTCCATTGCTCTGAGCGGGGCCGCCAATTCGCCGGAGTGGACCGCAGCAGGCAGCCTGGAGGACGCTGGAGCCTCGCCATCCAGCCTGCCGCCCCCCGAGACCGCAGCGGCGCCCGCCGTCCCGCCAGCAGTGCACCACCAGGACGAAAGCCTCGGCTCAGCGGGCGCCTCTGTGTCCGCCATGGGTGATCCAGCCGCTGCCATTGGGGACGACAGCGTGCGTGGAGGTGGAGCCTGGGGGGAGGAGCGGGTGCCTGGGCCCACCACCAGCACACCTGACGCAGAGGCCAGGAGCCCTGCAGCCCCTGCGCTGCCCGCCGATGCGCCTGCCGGACGTGGCAGCGGCAGCGCTTCGCCCTCGGAGGCTCCTTCACCTCTGCTTCCAAGCTCCACGGCGCCGGAGCCACCCTCCCCCATCCGACACTGGGAGGGTCCACCGAGCGCAGTCGAGGCCTCGCCGGCCTCCGACCCCACGCGCGACGAGGAGCCGACGGGCCGGCCCAGCGTGGAAGTCGCCCTGCCAGTGGCTGAGGGGCAGGGTGGACCCATCCTTGGCACACCAGGCGAGGAAGGCCCGACGCATGCCGCGCAGACAGAGCACGATACAGAGGACTCCCCCGCTTCCGGACCTGCAGCACCAGACCCTGCTGACGCTCCAGGCGGTGCGTCACCCTCACCCCCCGCCCCGTCACCGCCTTCCCCCTCGCCCTCGCCCTCGCCCGCCGCGCCCGCGCCGCCTGCGCCGCGCAGCATGGCCGGCAACCTGGTGTCTGCCGTGCGCTCGCTGCTGCCCGGCTCCCGCCCGCCCGCACCCGCGCTGTCCTCCGCGCGCCCGGCCGCCCGCCTGGCGGCGCTGGAGAAGGCCGACGCCGCGCGGCGGGCGCAGGAGGCTCGAGACGCCGAGCGCGAGCGCCGGCGGCTGGAGCTGGAGAGGGCGCGGGCGGAGCGCCTGGCTGCGAAGCAGGCCGCGGATGCGGAGGAGGCGCAGGAGCGCGCGGAGGCCGCGCTGCGGAAGCAGCAGGAGGCGGCCGCGCGCCGGAAGCAGCAGCTGGAGGCGGGGAAGGGCGGCGCCGGCCCCAAGAGGAAGGAGGTGGCCCTGGCATTTGGCGCGGCCCTGCCGCCCGCGACCGCCGACGCCGTGCCGAGACATGCCTCGCAGGCAGCGGCTCAGCAGGCCAGGCCGGCGCTGCACAAACCCGACAGGGTGCGAGGGGATTGCAGGGGAGTGGGTGATTGTTTGCGATGGGTCCTCCTGGCGGTGGGACGCTGGGACCGTGTGCGAGGCCCCTGCCCTGCCTGGGTGGGCCGGCCTTTCCCCCGTGCATCACAGCGTCCCATCTCTTCACCTGCACACACGTACCCCCTCAACTGCGCAGGAGAACGAGGGCCCCAATCCCAGCACGGCGGCGCTACCAGGCGCAGCACCGACTGCCGGCGCCGCGGCGGTGCCTGGCGCCGCGAAACCCCTGAAGAAGATCCTGTACAACGGGCAGCAGGTACACAGCGAGGCGGGCCCCGCCAAGCTGAGGCTGGCCCCAGCCGCACTGCCTCAGGGTGCGCAGCCGCATGGTGTGGGGCTGACGGCCGGGGCCAACCTTCAGTCGCAGGGTCTGGCCCCTGCAGCTTCCAGACCCCTGCTCCAGGTATGGCGGAGGGAAGGGTCTGATGAACCCAACCAGGAGTGCATGCCGGGTCGCCGACCAGGCTTGGGCCAGGTTTTAGTCTCATGAGCCCGGTCCACAGGTCAGGGTGCAGGTACTCGGTCCTCCTTGGGTGGTGCTGAGCTGGTATCTGCCTTCCTCCAGGCTATGTACAGATCCCTTGTGCACCGCTGAATGTACCCTTGTCGGCACCTGGCCCCCCAACTCACAGGTTGCCGAGCCGGTGCAGCCACGAGGGCTCTCTCCACCTGCCCCCCAGACAACCACGGCGGCGGCCTTGCCCTCCACCACGACCAACCCCCTGGGTCCACAGGCTGCCCAAGCGCAGGGCCCACCCCCTGGGTCCAGCACCTCTACGCTGGTCCAGAAGCAGCCGGGGTCACCTGGAGCGGTGCCCCGTGCCAGCAGCGCCGGGTCTCGCCATAACTACGAGATCTCACCGTACAAGTGGGGCCGGGGGTGGGGTTGACAGTGACAGACAGGGGTGGTGGATGGTCTGGCCTTCTCGTTGAGCTCGCAGGGATGAGCTCCCATACTGCTGATATGGAATGCAGCAGGACGGCACGCTCACGGATCCAACCGATCGGCACGTCAGCTGATCTGGCTTCCTGGTTCGCATCGATGCGCAGGAGTGACGACAGCTCCGACGACGAGGAGCCTCAGAAGCCGGTGCCTGAATGGGCGCGCGGCAAGGTACTGCAAGCGCAGCTGCTCTCGCAGGTGGATGCGGGGCCAAGCTCTTGCTGGGTTGGGGCTGCGGGACCAGTCGCCCTGCCTTTCTCACTCTCTGGACATGACTGAACCCATGCATGCCCCCCATCATCCACCCTTCACCCCTTGAAAATATCTGCAGACACACCTGGATCCAGACCTCATCTTTCAGCAACAGCACAAGACCTGCTCTCTGGACGAGGTTTTCGGTGAGCGCGGGGCAGGCTGAGGGGGTCAAGTAGCTTTGAGGCCTTGTGGATGTGGTGGTCACAGCTTGCACAGTGATCGCTTGCGGCTTACGTGATGTTGCATGTGAACCATGCCAGCAGCTCACCTGCCCAGCCAGATACACCAAGCCAAGCCTTCATTAAATCCCCGACCCTTCCTCGCCACCCACGCTCACAGACACGTCCAAGAGCAGTGGTCGGAACCTGAACAGACGGACGAGCACAGGCAACTGGGCGGGGGACCGTCTCACATGGCAAGAGGAGATGCGATACAAGAAGGCCATGGGTTTTGCATGATGCATGCATGCCCCGCGTCTTGCAGCAGAGTGTGTTGTTATCAAGCACTGGGAATTCCTTCATACGTTTTGGGTGATGCGAGCCGCATGCGAGGAGTTGATGGAACCTGGACAGACAGGTCCAGTGGTTTGAAAACATGCGATCATGGAACTTGTCGAGTGATGCCATGTGCACGAGTGGCAACAAGCAGCAGGGAGCCCTGCCGTGCACAGTCACATTATTATTTGCGAATCTCGAGATAATTTGTGCCGAGAAGCCTCGATGCAGGCGGCCCTCGATCGAGAAGATTGTGGAGGTGTCTGATCGCGAGGGCCAGTTCTGCCGGGTGAGCCCTGCTGCGGCGGTGCGACATGGAGGGCTCCATGGAGCCTCTGCCCTCCTCCATCTCGCTCCGGCCCGAAGATGCAGAGTGGGATGACGGCGGGGGCGAGGCCCTCTCCTCCACAGTCTTCCAGGCATATCAGTGCTGCAGTGTGGCTGAGGGCCAGCCCCACCCAGGGGACATTGCGGAGCCAGCCTCCCTGGCTGCCATCCCACTCCCCCCCAATGACTACCCTCTGGATGCGCTGCCAGCGGAACTCATCAGTTCTGGAAAACTGAGTAGCCTGCAGCTGGAGGGCATGCGCTACGCCTGCGCGCGCCACCTCAACTGGCTGTCTTCGGGGGAACGTGCGTAGGGACTGGAAGGGGTAGGGATAGAGTGGGTATGGGGGATCGCATGCCTAACATGAGTGGTGTGCCGACACCTAGACCGATCACACACCCCTCCCACACATGCATGCCACCAGGCCAAGGCTTCTTCCTCGGGGATGGCGCCGGCGTGGGCAAGGGCAGGCAGATCAGTGCCATCATACTGGACAACTATGCTCGGGGCCGGGGGAAGCATGTCTGGCTCTCCACATCGACAGATCTGTATCAAGACGCTGTGAGAGACTTGAAGGACCTGGGATGCCACATCCCTGTCATCCAGAATGTGCAGGTGGAGTGTAGGAGAGGGTTTGGGGTTTCAAAGTTCATTATTTTACTATGTCGGAGTGCTCTAAGGGCATCTCTCCTTACAGTGACTTCAAGCACCGCAATCCAGCAATGTTAGATCCTTGCTGTACGGCTTGGCGATAGTCACAGGGCCCGAGGTCGCTCACCTTCCTATCAGCAACCCTTGTGCCTTGCAGGCCCTGGACAAAGCCACCAACACTCCCCGCGAGGGAGTCATGTTCATGTGAGACGGGGCCAGCGGCTTTGGCAGTCAAACGAATCACGAAAAGTGGAACGTCTTTTCACCTGCATGACTGATATTCAGGTGCTTCTCTCTCACATGGAAGCGTTGAGAACGTGAACGCCTGGAGACTTCTAGCAAAAAGTAGGTTCCCATCTACCACCGCAGGACATACTCAACCCTGACTTCCAGCATCAAGGGTCGGACCCGTCTGCAGCAGGTCGTTCAGTGGCTGGGTGGCCCCTCCTTCAATGGCGCGCTCGTTTTCGATGAATGTGAGGCTGGGTGCGGAGCTAGGTGGAGAGAGTAAGCTATGGGGAAAGTCTGACATGAGCTGGGAAGGAAGGGCTCAATGGTGCAGCTGACCCACTTCTTGGGTGTGCCTTGCATGGCAGCCACTTCCCCTGCTGTCGCGCTGTTCTGACATCAGTATTCAGTCTATCTACAGGTCACAAAGGTGAAGGCTCTCCGCCCTCGGAGCACTCATTCTGACCTCACTCCTGCTTGGGACCGCCTGCTGGTGGACACAGGGAGGCTGATGTCGCCATTGTCTGCAAGGAACCTTGCTCTCCCTTCTGGACCTTGGAACCAAAGCACCCCTCTTCCCCCACCCTGCAGCCAAGAATTTTGTCCCAGGGAAGGAGGCGCAGAGCACACGGGTGGCACTAAATGTGCTCGAAATCCAGGCCCTCCTCCCCGCAGCTCGGGTGGTGTACTGCTCTGCCACAGGAAAGTGCTGGGGCGGCATTCATGCGGTGATGTTTGCGTTCTATAGAGTTTTGACATCCAGCCAACAGGAGGCATGGGGCACAGTTGAACATCATCCGCTGAAGGGCCACCCAAACATGAAGCCGTGCACTCCCTGACGCAGGTGTGAGTGAGGTGGGCAATTTGGCATACATGTCACGCTTGGGTCTCTGGGGTGTCGGCTCCTCCTTTCCAGACTTCGACTCCTTCCTCTCCAGCATGCGGCGGAGGTGAGGCAGGGGGTGTAGGGGTGTGCAGGGGAGTGCATCGCTGTGATACGAAGCACATTCATTGAACGACCCATTCCTTGCTGCAGGGGCGTGACTTTCATGGAGATGTTGGCCATGGAGATGAAGGGCCAGGGCCTGTATCTCTCCAGGGGCCTGTCCTTCAGGTGCCGGCCTGGGTAGAGAGTGACACAGCCTGCCAGGAAAGCTGGGCTCGGTGCATGTCCAATTGAAGACAGGCGGTGGTCAGCTCTCTAGCCTTCCACAGCTGGTCCCTGCCGCACTATAGCCACCCTCACCACCCACAGGGAGGCAGAGTTTGCGGAGCTGGCCTGCCCCCTGACCCCAGCCCAGATTGCGCAGTACGACGCCGCAGTCGCCCTGTGGCAGGATACCCGCGCCGCCCTGGTGGAAGCCCTGGCGGCGACCGGGAACACGCGGGATGTCTGGAAACCCTACTACGGCGCCGTGCAGAGGTTCTTCAAGATCCTCCTGGTGTCCATGAAGGTGGACGGGGGAGAGGACCAAACAGATGGGAGAGGACGGTGCCAGGCTGCACTGGGATCCAGCGGGGCCGGTCTGCTTGTTGAGTTCATTCAGACACATGCAGCTGCATCTGTTTAATTCTGATGGGATGCAGCCCCTACTCGTGGCTGCTGGCGTGCAGGCGGCCTGAACCACTCCGGCAACCACAATGACCCCCCCACCTCAGGTCCCCTGTGTCGTTGCGGAGGCCCGAAAAGCATTAGATTCTGGCTTTGCAGTCGTAATTGGGCTACAGGTGTGTGCTGGGGGGCTGGTGGAAGGCAGGGAACAGGAACTGGGCAGAGAGGAGGACCCACTCTCGCAGACGCAAAGTATGCATGCCATCCCACCCACTTGATCGGGACTGCAGTCCACGGGCGAGGCCGCGGCAGATGCGCTGGGGATTGATCCGGGGACACCATGCGGATTCATAAGCACCTGCCGTGAGATTGGCATCCAGTTCATTGCAAACCATTTCCCCTACCTGGTGGAGGCCCAGACAGGTGTGTGCGTGAGTCGAGGGTGGTGAGCGTGGGAATGGAGGAGGGAATGCCTGATGCAAGCGTGGTAATGGGCATAACTCCTCCTGCGTTTGTGACTCCATGGATGGAGTTGTAATGTTTGAACACGGGAGGACTGCCGTGATGAGATGCTGGCATCTGGTATGTCTTCAACCGCTCACATGTTGCTCCATGCAATAACTCTGAGCACCAGAGCAGCTCATTAATTCCACACCATATACATTGTGCCCGCGACAGGAGAGGAGGTCGCTCGCCACCCGGACATGCCGACCCCGAGTCTTGTCCCCGGCTCTGCCAAGCTGGGCGCTGGAGATGAGGAGCCAGAGAGTTCCAAGACCCGGGCCAGGCTGCAACAGGCCTGGGACTCGGCAGACCTCCCGCCCAACTTCTTGGACCAGCTCATCGATGAGCTGGGAGGGGCTGCCGGCGTGGCCGAGATGACAGGTGGGTGTTGGCAAGGGGCAGGTTGGGCTGGGTGTACTGGAGTCCAAAGCTATGGAGGGCGGGTGGGGGGTGGCACTGCTATGGCGGATCTTAGCTCCAGGCTTTGGACAGGCTGCTGGGGAGGCCCCAGTACTTAGCCCCAAGTGGGGCTACAAGTTACCCGAGACATGTTGCAGCCAGCATGCTCCAGGTGGAGCCAAGTCCCTGCCTCGTAGTCCCTGAGTCCGCCACTGCGCATGATCAGTCGCTCCATGCACGCACAGGACGCAAGGCACGTGTGGTGCGGGACGCGAGGGGCACACTGACCTACTCCCTGCGCGCCAAGCCCGACAGTGCCGAGCTGGACTCCCTGAACATCCGCGAGAAGGCTGCCTTCATGGAGGTGGGGGTTGGAATTTGGGGGGGGAAAGAGGTCCGGCTGTGGTCAGGCCATGGCAAGCCAAGGGAGACAAAGGCCCGTCTTGATCCCCCTACAGCGACATCTCAACAGACATTCTCCCCAGGCTCCACCAAACAGATCATAGTGCACCCTCGCCTGCACAGGGCTCCAAGCTGGTGGCCATCGTGTCGGATGCCGCCTCCACCGGCATCTCCCTGCACGCCTCGGCGGCCGTGAAGAACCGGCGGCGCCGCGCGCACCTGACCATCGAGCTGCCCTGGTCCGCCGACAAGGCCATCCAGCAGCTGGGCAGGAGCCACCGCGCCAACCAGGTGGGGCGCAGAGCTGGGCAGGTCGGCCTGAGGAGGGTCCTCGGCCAAGCTCAAATGGCTCCCTCGCGGCCCCAGCCCCCCGCCCCCAAACCCCCCCTTCTCTCAAAGGTTCCTCCCCTACCATATATTTGCCAGGTGAGCGCGCCCAAATACAGCCTGGTGCACACCGACGTGGGCGGGGAGGCCCGCTTCGCGGCAGCCGTGGCGCGGCGGCTGCAGTCCCTGGGCGCGCTGACGCGCGGTGACCGCCGCGCCGCCTCTGGCCTGGACCTCTCCTCGCTCAACCTGGACAGCCCAGTGGGGCGACGCGCGCTGCGTCGCATGTACGACGCCCTGGTCCAGGACTCGCCGCTGCTGCCGCCGGGGGTGCGGCTGGAGGCGGTGCTGGCGCGAACGCCAAGCGCGCAGCGCGCCGCGATCCTGGGGCCCGCCGCGGCCGACGCGGCGCGCATGTCCGCGGCCCAGCTCGTCGACGCCGTGCTGCGGCTGCACGGCCACCTGCGCGGCGCCGTGGGGCTCATGGGCATCGGCCTGTCCGCGCCGCGGGGCGACACCGTGGCCGAGGCCAACGCTGGGATCGCGGGCGGCAAGGACCAGGGGGACGTCAGGCGCTTCCTGAACAGGATGCTGTGCCTGCATGTGGCGGAGCAGAACCTGCTATTCGACTACTTCCAGGCCACCCTGGCAGCCGAGATCCGCAGCGCCAAGGCCGAAGGTGCTGAGGTGGGATGAGGGAGGGGTGGGCCAGGGGCTTGTGGGACCTGAGAACAGGCTGCCTGAAGTTGATGTTGACGAAGCTGCTCAGCGCCCAGCTCTTCACATGCGTCCACTCCTCCGTGGTGTGTGCCCTCAAAGTACTCTGCCCTCCCCCCCCCCAAACCCCTCATCGTACCCAGGCAAGTACTTTGAGGGCGTGTCGGACCTGCCGGGGCAGGACATCTCCAGGGAGGGCGAGCCCCATGTGCTCTGGGTCGACCCGCTGAGCACGCTGAGCACGATGCAGCACGACCTCAGCGTGGACCGAGGCCTCCCCTTTGCCGAGGCGGCTGCCCAGCTGGCGCGGGCGACCGACGGCGCCTCTGGCTTCATGGTCTCCAAGCGACCCTCCTTCGGCCGCACCTCCTACATCCTGGCGCTGCAGAAAGCCCGCACCCCTGGCACCTTTTCCATAGCCCGGCCAAACACGGGTATGCCTTGGAGTGGGGGATGAGAGAGGGGAGTGACATGGATGCTCTCCAGATGAGGGTCCATGCCCTGCCCGAGCCTACACAATGCGCCCTGGTGAAGGGTTCTAGAGGGACAATGACGATTCCGTGCCCAGTCGTCACGAGTCAGGGGCTGGTGCGCTTGGCGCTGGGGCCCAGGAGGGCCCTGGCATTCTTCATGTGTGCCCCCTTGGATCTTCATCCCTTCCACCCAAATGCGCTCCAGGTGCCTCCTTCTTTGACATGGATCTGGACGAGCTGCGGGCCAAGTACCTGCCATGCGCACCCGAGGCGGCAGAGGCGGGGTGGGAGCAGTGGTACCACCAGTCGCTGGAGGTGTGCACACACGGCCCGACCTGCAAGCAGGGTGCCGCATGTACAGTGAGCAAGGAGGACGAGACGCGTCAGAGGGATGTTGGTTTGCTTGGGATGTCGTCTTGATGAGGGGTCGACATGTGTGAGTGGGCCTTGTGGCACAGCAACCTCTTGCGCATGACCTTGCACGGGATGCCCAGGCATCTACACCAGGCCTGCGACAAGAGCGTCAGCCCCGTGACGTGGACTCCATGGAATTCATGCTATGCCAAGGGCAGCTGCAGGCCCATGCGCCCTCTAGCACCCATGCATGAGCCACCCTCCCTACCCCCTCCTCCACAGATTGGGCGGCGGAGGACTCCGGTGACGGTGCTGACGGGGTCCATTGTCCGCATCTGGGACTGCCTGGAAAGGGTGCTGACGCGGCACGAGGCTGAGCTGTCGCGCAGCGACCGGGTGATGAGGATCGTCAGGGTGGACCTGGGGGACGGCTCCCTCCCCATCATTGGTGAGTCGAGGGGTCTGTGCAGTGCAGGGAGGGCTTGGCGCCGGGTCCTTGCTGCTGGGCCAGGCCGGGTGTGGCGTGGAGGTTGGTATCGGCTCCAGGTTTGGCTTCTCCAATATCGGGAATGAGTTGGTTGCTGCAGCCTTCCTAGACACTCCAGGCAAGCCACCCCGCCCTTGTCGATTCCACAGGCGTCCGCTACCCCGGCTTCCTCCTGCCAGAGGTGGTCATGTTGCTGGCGGTGGAGCAGCAGATAGGAGCAGCGGGGAGGGGCAGGGCGGCCAGTTCTCTCACGACACAGCGCCGAGTGGAGGCCGTGGACCCAGTCGTGCCACGGCTGCTCAGTAAAGCGTACTGGTGCGTGGGAGGGGCAGGGGAGGGCAGGGGGCCACTGAGGCTCCTTCCTACTCAGGGATGAAGGGCCTCGATGTGAGCCTGACGCCAAGGGAATGTATGCCCTGCAGCACGCATGAGGTGGCAGCCATAAGTCCGCCCAGGCTTTCGCGTGCAGGGGGGGCGAGCAGGATGCCATTCTCAGCACCAGACCGTCCGAGAGCACGATTGTGTCGCTCATCCATCTCCCACTTTCTTTCGTGCCATTCAAATCACAGTGCGCCGCGGACGGTGCTGGACTTTTTTAAACCTGGGGCGGCCGTGCCCAAGCGGGGCCCCGAGGCTCTCTCAGGCGGAGCCAAGGATGCGCCGGTGCGGAAGAAGGGGATGCAAGCCATTGTGGTCGAGGTGGTCGACCTGGAGACGCCGCCCCCCTCGCCCCTTGGAAGGCATGGTCCTGTGCTCGGAGCTGCTAAGATCAAGGCCAGCCCGGAGGGTAGGCTTGTATCCAGGCCAGCACCACCAGCGACTCTGACTGGCACGACCAGGCCACTCTCAGGTCTGCCTAGGGCGTCTGATGCCTCTGCCCAGACCTGCACCCAGCGGCAGGAGCTCATGGACATGGGCTTTGCGCCAGCCAAGGCAGATCTAGCACTCAAGGTCTGCGGAGGGGATGTGGAGCGAGCAGCCAACTGGCTGCTCACATCGGCCGCCACCCTGTCCTAGAGCTCTGCACTGAACTCTGCCTACTCGAAGTGATGAGCATTGCAAATACGTTTAATGAATACTTGGAGGATGCATTTGGTAAGGAGGGTAAAAGAGAGGACCAACAAGGCGCATGCGGGGGGATGCCGCGGCGACTCTAGAATGTGGAGGGGTCGTAGGGCGGCGGTTCCTGTCCAAAATACTGACGCTTCAGCAGCTCAGCATGCTTCTGTCGAAACTCCGGCATGGAGCACTGGCTGGAGGCCACTCTGCATGAGGGCGCAGTCCATGGGGTCCAGTGAGGGTTGCTGTAGTTGGCCAAAACCCCCAATCCCGGCCACCCATCAGACGTGCACCCATCTGCACAAGCCAGCACCCACCGGAGGCCAGGAGTCTCGGCCTCGCCTTCCACAACCTCTCCATCTCTGAATATGAATTTGGCGGCTGTGATGGAACGGTCCTGGGGAAGCCGGGGGGCCATGATCCTCAGGAAGCTGATCTTGGCGACGAGCTCCTTCAGGGCTTCCGCCTGATCACCCCCGTCTGTCATCGCAGCAGCCTCGCGAAATTTTGACCGAGCTTGTGCTATGTTTGCTTGAGCCTGTTGTGCAGGTAGCCTCTTGTTCAGGGACAAAAACTCCCGATACAACCGGAGGGCTACTCTGCCATGCTCGGACATGTTGGCAGGCGGGGCAGAGTCGAAGCAAAGCCACGACAGGCAATATTTGGACCTATGTTAGAGGGTAGAATATTAAATGCTCCTCCAATGCACAAGGCGTCGCAGGGTGATGCAGAATATCGAAATCGGGGTGATGCTGTGCATGCTGTTGGGAAAATTTCGGAAGGACATCAGGCTGAAAAGCAAGGTACAAGTAGCCTACAGGTATAGTGTACAGGTGTCAAGCAGCAGCGTGCATGCTCGCTGACATCTCATACATGCATGCTCATCAGGTACATGCAATAAATTCAACGCTCCCAGTCTCCTCAAATCCGGGTAAACCCAGCTCCCACCCGGCTCTGGCTCTCCGAGACGAACCGATTCCTGCGCCGTCCGGCTGTGGCAAACCGAAACAATGCACCTGGAATCGTGAGGTACTGCAGGTATCCTCCGTTGCCTGTGGCACCCCTCAGGCGTGGGACCAGCCAGCCGGCAACAGTCTCAGGCTCCTCAGCCAGGATGTTGATGAGGCGGGCTGCACAGGGGAAAGCATGAGGTGGGATGCAGCGGAGACATAGACGTTCTCCTGCAGACAGCTGAATGCACACATGGTGACTGCCTCCCTCACCAAGACCCCGTACTGGGCCGTCCAGATCCTCGCGCATGAAAATCAAACTCACTCCACCCCGCCCACCAACCCCATCTCCCCCCCTTTCCCCACCCGACTTGGCGGTGTCGGCCAGGGGTAAGAGGAGATCGGTGGCCACCATGCCGGGGGACACCAGGTGCACGCTGACTGGACTTCCCTGCACTGAGGCAGCCAGCGAAGCGCTGAGCTGGACGAGTGCCTGCTTCGTCGCGCCGTACACAGGGTTCTTGGGAGTGGCGTCGCCACGCGACCCTCTGCCGGCCATGAGGAAGAACTGTGCTTGTGATGAGGGAAGGTGGGGATTGTATGGTGGGAGAATGGCTGGATCTGCTGGGTGGGTGTCAGGGAGGTTGAGAATGGGGAGGACTTTTGTGCATGCAGCATGACGCCAGGGTCTGTTCAACCTTTTACTCGTCAGCTGATGGAGCTCAGGAGATGGTGCCGCGCCGTGTGGGCTCATGTCTCGGCATACAGAGCCCGCAAGCATCCCCTTCCTCGATCACTCAGAGCCCGTCCCAGCCAGCCAGCCGGCACACACCTTTCCTTTGCACCCAGACTCGCTCATGATCTTGAGGGCGGTGCGTGCGCAGAGGAGGCTGCCAGTCAGGTTGGCCCCCACGATGGCCTGGATGTCCCCGGGGCTGGTGTGCACCAGGTCTGCCCTCGCCAGGCCGCGCAGTGCGGCGTTGGCGACCCAGATGTCTATGCCACCCAGGATCTCCTGCGCCTCGGCCCCCAGGCGGTCCACATCCTCTGGCACCGACACGTCGCAGGCGGCCCCCGCCACGACAGCGCCCGGGAAGGCGTCCCGCAGGGCCGAGACCGTGCGCTCCACGGCCTCGGCATGCCGGCTGCAAATGACCACGTCATCCCCCAGCGCCAGGAACTGGCGGGCCAGGGCCAGGCCAAGACCTCGCGTGCCGCCTGTGATCACCACCTGGCGGGGTGCGAAGGAGAGGGTGGGGGGTGCGGGTGGGGGGTGCGGGTGGGGGGTTGAAGAATAAACAGGCTGCGCATGTGATGTCGGTCCCGGAGCCAGACGTCACGAGGAGCAACAAACATCATCATCACGCACCTTGAGGCCAGATGGGTGGGGCGTATTGTCCGCTCGAAATCTTGCCGACGTCTTGAGACTGGACAGGATGGCTCTGCCCACCAGGAGCAGGGCCGTCTGCGCAAGGATGCCGACACCAAAGGACGGCAGGTCAAAGTGCGGCGCCATCGCCAGCCGTGGTGTCGATCACACCGGATCCCTGTGCAGTCTCTGTTCTAGGATAATATGCAAGCGCGCGGGTGATATTCTTCGACTGCATGCGAGCTTCTGGGCGTCGGGTGCTTGCAAATGTGTGTGTGTCGATCGCGCCAGTTTTGATTTCGTCTCGTATGCCGCGCTTCTGTCCAGATGGTGGGGCACCTGAGGTTGTTCTCATTACACATCCCAGTCCCACCCTTCACGGGTACCCAGAGGCATCCATCAAGCGCCACCGCTGTGGTTCTTCTTGGCCTGGGCATAGCCGACCTTGATGGCCCGGCCCATGAGCTGCGTGCCGTTCAGCTGGAGTGCCCCATCCAGCGAGGCCTCGTCCCTGGATTGGAGCGGTGGAGCACTGTCAGCTGGGCCCGCTTGCGATAGGCTCAAGGATGTGTAAACTGTGAACTTGCTATTGTTAATATGCAGGTCAAGAGATCTGGCCCTCTCATCACCAGACTGGCAGTCTGTGAAGCATGCGCACCAGGCAACCAGCCCTCCGATCCATTGCACAGCCGCACACCCTTCCATCCAATACTCCCTAGTCACAGAACCATCTCGACGTCCCTGCCACGGTACTCCCCCATGCCCGCCTCGCCTGAAGTGCACGTGGGCAAAGCCCTTGGGCCGCCCGGTCTCCTTGTCGGTGTGCAGGCGCACCAGCGTGACGTTGAAGGGCTCGAACAGCTTCTGCAACGTCGCCTCGTCGGCATCATAGGCCACGTTGCCCACGTACGCCACGTGGTAGCCAGGGGTCTTTGGTGCGGAGCCCCTGGCATCGGCGGCCGGCGGCGCAGGGGAGGCCCCGGCCTGGGTGGGTGGGATCGCGGCCGCAGGCGCCGCGGCGGTCGGCGTGGCAATTGCCGGCGCGGCCTGGCGGCGCACGGAGGTCGGCGCCTTGCACCGCTGGACCTTGACCCGCTGGCCCTCGCAGTCCTCGCCGTCGTAGCCCAAGGCTGCCTGGTATGCCTCCTCCTGCAATAGGATGATGGCCATGGGGGGTCTGTGGAGGCGCTGGTGGCTGACCTGGGGTCAAGCTGGCGCAGGGAGAAGCAGGAATGGCCATGAGAGGGAAGCCTGGGCCGCTCAAAGCATGGACATGTCAGAGAGGCTCTCGGCCCACCCAACCCAGATCCCAGCCTGCCCGCTCCATCCGGTGTGCAGAGCTTCACCAAAGGTTACGGAAGACCCACCGTCGCAAAGGTGATGAAGGCGATGCCCCTGAACCGCCCGGTGTCCGGGAAAGTCATGATGTCCATGCTCTCTATCTCGCCACAGTAACCCCAGTACTCCCGTATCTGATCCAAGGGGTGGGAGGAGGGCAGGGTAGGCTGAGATGAGCAAAGTCAGGCTTGCACAGGGGCAAATTGCAGTCTTCACGAGGTACTCAAGATGTCGATGGCACTCTCCGAAACTCTCAATATACAAGTCTCTGAAGCATCCTCCAACCCTCAACAAGCAACACCCCTCGCACCTCTGCCTCCGTGAAGCGGTAGGGCATGCCGCCGACGTAGACGCGCCGAGGCACGAACTCCCCATCCTGCGCCCCGCCTGCTGCCGCGGACGTGACAGGCATGGCCTCCTCCTCGTCAGATGACGAAGAGGACGACTCCTCCTCGCTGCTGCTGCTGGTCTCTGCTGCAGCTGGGGCTGGGGCGGCCGCAGGGGTGCCGGAGATGTGCAGCACCTGCTCTTCCTCTTCCTCTGACGATGAGGAGGGACCGGCTTCTGCCTGAGGGGTCCCCGCCGGCTGGAAACCAAAGGAGAAGGCGCCGGCTGCTGGCGGCGCTGCTGGCACGGGCGCTGGCGCTGGCGCAGGAGGCGCTGCAGCATACCCTGGTGCAGGAGGTGTGAGGTATATGAAGGGAGGTCACGATGTGCGCGCGTGCGAGCCGTGAAGGGAGCACTGGGCCCCGGCTCATGCCTGCAGAGGGCAACAGGCCACCCTACCTTCTCGCAAAGAAGTACCATTCCCCGCCCCTCACCCAGTGTTGACCGCATGCGGCTGGCCTCGTCAGCGTTCCCTGGCCCTGATACCCTCTCCTCAGGGGCCAGCTTGGCACGCTTTACTTTTTGACCTTTCTCAGGAATTGCGGCGGCCGCCGACGGGGCCCCGTCAGGTGTCGCAGCAGGAGCCGCCCCAGGCACTGCAGGATCCGCGCTGGGGGTAGTCTTGGAAGCCTTTACTGCCTCCTTCTGCTCTGAGCTCCATCGCGGCTTGGCCCGGGTCTTGGTGGGTGGGACGATTGCTGCCACCCCATTGGAGATGGGAGGTTGGGGCGGGCCCTGAGGAGTCGCTGTCGGGTGGGCTGGGGCGGCCACAGCGCCTGGTGTGAATCTTGGGACGGATTGGGAAGTACCCTGTGGAGTGGCGTGGCAAACGGGTCACATGAAGCCTGGGACATTTTGGGTGTGCAAGATCAGCTGGGACGCACTGCAGGCACAGAAGGCCACGGCCCTAAGTCCTGCTCTGGACAAACTGGTCAAGGCAGGAGGGAAGAAGGTCGAAGATCTACTTACCAGTACTATGTCCTGGGGCCTGATGTATCTCGGGTAGAGGAGCCCGCTGTTGTTCATTGTAGAGATGGACCCTGCAGCGCGGGGTGGGTGACGGTGGTCGAGACCCGACAGCACTGGCTGCCACCACTCAGCACGCCCCGGCGTGGCCCCTGTCACAGAATATAGCGCCATCACCTCGACACTCAAAGTACCTTCAGGAGAGGAGTACGAGGGAGGCGGGGAGTCTGCGGAAGACTCGGGCGCATGCACTGCTCCTTCGCAGACAGCCGCAGAGCTTACGCGAGTGGCGCTGATGTACAAGGATTATAACGCTGATATGAAATGTTCCGATGGCCTTCTGCCTGTCCAAGTCGGCCATCATCCGACATGACTGGATGTAGGCGTCACGGGGCGCGCGTGGTGGCGCGCTCATCCCGATTCATATCTCGAGGGGCACACGTCGGGCACTGTTCGAGCACGGGGTACCGATCGACTCATTCCGCTGTGGGTGAACACCGCGCCTGGCGTATCACACGCGCGGGATGGGCATGGAACGGCGCACCGGCATGCTTTGGCCAAGATGATGGGGGTGCCCACGGGCTGCACCCCCGCCACTCGCCCGGTGGTCCCATTGCGGCCCAGACTCCTCGGTTCCGGCGGGAGGCGAGCGCGCCCGGGGACTTGTCTGCAGGCCGAGTACAGATGGAGCGCAGGTGATTGGATGGATGCTGCTTGCATGGTACACCTGTCCCCTGCAGGCCTCTGCTCCCCGTGGTCCCTCATCCTCGCATGTGATCCCCCCCATCACAACAGCAGACGGAGGCCCCGGCCGACGGCGGAAACGGGAGTCCGTTTTCGACAACTTTGAACCCCAGGAAGATGTGCCTGGCAGGGAGGGTCCCCTGGAGGGGGAGCCAGCGTGGGAGACCCAGCCCAGCGAGACGAACGAGGCATCGGGGCGAGCGAATCCGTCGCGCCCTTCGCCGCCGCGCCCCTCCGCTGGCGCCGCGGTCGAGTTGGAGGAGGGCTGGGGCGCGGGAGCCTGGTGGGATCCACCCCCCAGCCGGCGGGTCCGGGGCCTGTACGATGAGAGCGGGGCGGGGGTGGACGATGAGACGGAGGAGGGTGCCCCGTCCGCGGACGAACCCGGCCGCCGCCCCGCGTCCGACGGGCCCCTCGACGTCGTCCCGCTGAGCGACGCGGAGCTGGACCGCGTGCTGCCCGTCTTCCCGCTGGCCTCCCAGGCCGCATACTTCTCCGGCGGCACCGCCGGCGCCGTCCAACGCTGGGGCGCCAGCCTGGCGGCCACCGTGGTCCTGTCCAAGGCCGCCCTGCTGGCCGCTGCCTCGCTGACCTGGCCCGTCTGGTGGCCCTGGGCCCTGGCCGCGCGGCGCAACTGGGCGCTGCGCCGCGGCCGCCGCCACGCGGGCCTATGGCGCACGCGCGTCCTGGACGTAGACCCGGGATCGCGGGGGGGCGTGCCCGCCCCGCGCCTGGCCGTCGCGCGCTTCGCCTTCGGGGAGCGCGGAGGGCCGTGCACGCGGCTGGACCTGCCCGCGGACGGCAGGTTCCAGAGGGTGCGGCCTGGGGACCCGGCGGAGCTGCTCGTCCTCTCCTCCTCACCCGAGTTTGACGAGTTCCAGGCGCGGGAAGATGGGGGAAGTGCGCGGTGTGGGGTGGTAGGGTAGGGACACGGCGATGCACATGCTGGCTTGCTGAGGAGCTTGGGAGGAGGGGGGCCGAGGGAAGAGATGGCAGCATTGCTGTTGAGATGTGGCTGGCCTGGTGCTGGTCTCATGCACCCACTCACATCCTCCAAACGCCCAGGACAGGCTGCTCATCCTTTCCATCCCCTTGATCCCACAGGCGGTGAAGGACGTCTACCTTCCCAACAGCGGCCTGTGGCTCTCGTCCTACCCGTTCCTCGACCGCTCAGAGTTCCTGGCCCTCTCCTTGGCGATAGAACGTGAGGCTGTGGCGGGTGAGGGGGGAGCCCCGCCCCATTACTCCTGAGCGCCAGGGCTGCACCATATGCCCTGAGCTTTGACCTTGTTTTTACCCATTCCTGCTCTCATGATGTAGTGTGCTGGCACGTCGTACAGCGAGCGATGGGGCAGCTATGTGATGCTTGCAATTTATGGCAAACAGGGGTTGATGGCACATGCAGGGGTGGCTCGTTCATGACTCTGTAGGTGAGTGGATCAGGGATGGTGGTATTTGAGGAGCTCCTGGACTGGGCACGTCTTCTCCGTCAGGTAAGGTGGTATGGCCGAGAAAATAATCCTGGAAAGGGTTTGACAACTCCTGGAAGAGTGGAGGGGTATAAAGTACCCTGGTGTGTGAATGAAAGGAGTAAGTGGGAAAATGTGGCAAGCAGATGCCAGGTACTTATAGCAGCTGCTCTCCCAAGACCGGGTCGTACAGCGCAAGGAAGGAATACGAATTGAAAGACCTAAGTCTTTGATCTCATGGTGTGAGTAGCAAGGCCCCATGAACAGTGACGAGTTCAGCTGCAGGGGAAAGGGTGGGGATGCAAAGCAACCGAGTCTTACGCTAGGGAGCACATTCGAACAGTGTGCATGGTCCTGAGGGGAACAATAAGGAAAGCGGTCCTGGTTGGCATTGAGCATGGGGAGAAGCGGTGTGTAATGCTCAAGGTGAGAGGGGAGGACCGTGTGCAGATATACTGCTAAGGGCACTGAGTCAACACAACAAGTCAGCTGATTGGGCGCAGCGTGGGCGCTTGGCTGAGGGGAGCGGATCCTCCAGGGCTGCAAGGAAGGGGTGAACGTGAGCAGTTGAGTGGTCCATGCACGGCGGCATGCCCCAGGCCCCAGTGCTCAGAATCAGATCAGTCCCTTGCTCCAGCCCCCGGCTCCTCCTCACCTACGAAGAGGTCGGCATCAGAGTAGAAGTCCCCAAACCCATGGGAAAGCATGGAGTTGCTGAACTGCGCCTCCCTGAAGCTGTCGGCCCACCCGGCCGAGGCATCCGACATGGAGCTCCGGGTCGAGCCATCAGGCGCATGGTAGTTGTGCACGTCATGCTGCTTATTGGGCGTCTGGGGCTCAACCCGGGGCCCAACAGACTGAGGGGGCAGCGGAGGCGGCCCCTTGGAGATGATTTGGGGCGGGCTCGTTCGCGACAGGAACTGCCAGGGCTGGGGGTTGTACACTATGGGCATGGCACGCTGGGCGGAGGCCAGGTGCTCGGCGGTCTGTAGGAAGCTGGCAACATCCCTGTGGGGAGCGACCATGGGCCTGGAGGGGTTCATGGACTGGGTCCAGGGTCGCGGGGGCGCAGGTACGCCGGACGTGGGCGGGGGTGCGTGCAAGTAGGGGACGGGTGGGACAACGACCAGGGTGTTTCCCACAAGGATCTGGGAGCCAGGGAGGAGCTGCGCGGGTGGGGGGCGACAGGGCGAGGTTGGGTTCCGGGCACGAAGAGCGGGGCCCCTCCCCACAAGCCATCCAGATCCATTATAATGCATGCATCTGCCGTTTTCAGGGCACAGGCACCCACCTCGACCACGCGAAGATGTTGAACGGGAGCCGCTTGAAGGTACGTGCGCCCCGGGAAAACCTGGGGCAGAGACGTTGCAGTGGCCTCGCAAGGGGGTTGCCTCCCCTCCTGAGCGAGATTGGAGGTCATGTAATGCGAACGGGGTATGCCGGGGGCCGATACGAGAAGATCGAATCGTTGTGCGCGGGCCCCTGTGCGCTCCGGAGTCCGAAGCAGAATACGGCTAATCACGGGGACACTTCTTGGCTCACAAGGTTGCTCAAGCTCAATACAATATCAGAACGAGTTCGAGGAGGGTCTTCGAGGCTGCTAGTACCGACAGGTTGTCAGCAAGGTGGCTGTACGAGAAAAGGGGGGGGTCAGGCTCCTAGCAGATTCCGATTGTGCTGACGTATCAGATTCGGTATCATCCGTACCAATACCAAGCCCCACAACAGGGCTGTGCAGCTTGCGAAACATCACATGTGAGATGGTAAGTTATTTAAAAAGATCTCACATCGACTTCGACTTTTCGCCTCGACAGCAGGGTTGCTCCAACAAAATTTGGACCCACCTCGGTGCAAAGATCGCATTGGTCCGACCCCCCTTTCTCCTCCTTCAACGTGTTGCCCGTACCATTCCTCAATGCGACTGAGGTCATTCAGTCACACGAACTCTGCTTGATTACGGCTCTCATATTAGTAAGACCCAAAGTAAAGCCAATTTGGGCGCCCAAGAACGGATGTGACGCCACTGCAAATGCGCGTTTGCGCTCGTCTGTGTCGATTCGAATCAAGGAGCGCGATGCGTGGCAAGCACACCGCCACACGTCCGTCAGACTCTCAGCCATGAGCCTAGTTGGTGGACCCATGCTCTCGAAACGGACAAATTAGGGAGCTGTATTTGTACTGTATCTCTCGCGGGGCCATCGGCTGCCACCTCGCCCACCTACAGGCTCAGATGAGACATGGGGACCTTTCCCCTTGGTTCACCCAGCTGAAGGAGACTCCCGTCAGACCGCTCCAAAGCTTGCTTTGAACTTACTTTAAATAGTGAGGTGCGGTTATGCGCGTTTCGGAACGATCATTGTAACCCCTATGCACACAACCTCATGGCGAGCTCTGCTGGCGACCCTCCATACCCAGGGCTACCGTGGGGAATGTTCCCCTCATCGGTCGAAGACTTCTACCACCAGATTGGTAACATTCCCCCTCGACAGCAGCATGCTATAATACTGCTTCTTCTTCTTCAATAACAGAGACCCCTGTTGCAACATATTCCTGGTACTTTTCTGTTTATATCTTTGATACAGGTGACCAGGGAAGAAACTCTGGCACGGTGTCCTGTCTCTGGTTTCAGGATTGAGATGGGGACACAATAAAGCATACCACGCGGTTGATTCCTCGAGGTGTGTGATTTGAGGATTTGTAAGCCTGTGATGAAGCATGCATGGGAACAAGGCTTCGATCCTGTTCTTATTGGGTGAGGGGCAAAGGACAGCTCTAATGAGATTCTGGGAGGCGAGATGGCAGCAACATACACACAGAATGTAAGACAGGATGACGATGGAGGAAAAAGCATTCGTCCATTCATGCCGCAATCCTTTCTATCGAAGGCATGAGGGGAGTAGACATGCAAGGGGGAGCAAATCTCTCATTGTCACTAGCCCGTATGCATCATCTATGAGTCAGCGGAGTGAATCCAGGAACCACGCTGAGCCGTGAAAGGGATGAGGTTGCAGCTTGCTTTGCACCCGTCGGCAAGTCTGGCCTCTAGGAGAAGATGGTTGGACCGCACCGGGAATACATGGTCCCCATGCTTTGAAATAGTGATTGCTGCTGGGCTTGCTGTGTGCCGATTTTGAACATTGCGACAACAGCAGCAGAAGCTTCATGCTCGAACATCTCCCAGCCCAGTGTGCACACCCTGTGCAGGAATTCCGATCATGTCGAAATCGTTGGAGTTTGCAAAGCATCATGGGGAGGGCCGGGGCTGCGTCGCCTTCGCTCCTGCCGGCGGTCCTGGTGCCGGGCTCCTCGTCACGACAGGGGCCGATGGGCGTCTGGCCATTCGCAACGCCCAGGCTGTGCAGATTGAGCAGGCCTCCAACCCTATAGCACCGGGTGAGGCAGCTGGAGCACATCGCCTCGCGGTCGCACCTGGCGTTGTCGCCGTGCTGCAGGACTCTGCCGCCAAGGTAGGGCCACGAAGAGGGTGGCGTCGATCAGCATGCTGTGCCATGCCCGCCTTGGAAACTCGACAGCCGGGGCACGGTGCACGGAATGAACGGAGAATGCAGCGCAAGGGCCTTAGCTCCCCATGTCCCTCCATGGCATCGCCGCGGTGCAGGCCTTCACCCTGCCCGACCTGTCCTCGCCCCGCCTGCTGGCCGGCGGCGTGCTCCCCCTGCGCGCCCTGGCGCTGAGCCCCTCCGGCGCCACGCTGGCGGTGGCGGGGGACGACCCCGGCATCCGCCTGCTGGCCGTCGGGAGCAGCGCCGTGCTGCGCACGCTGGCTTCCGCGCCCTACACCCGGGGCCTGGCCTACGACCCGGAGGGGGCGTACCTGGCCTCTATGGGCGCCGACGGCAACCTCACTGTCTGGGACATCGAGTCCGGCCGGCCTGTCTTCTCCAAAAAGGGCCTGGCCTCCAAGGTGTGTATTCTGAGTCCGGATGGTGGTGGACCACGGACATGGAGGAGGCCTGCATGGATATACTGCTGGTCTGGCGTCAGACGGCTTCAAGGCCCCACACCCTAGAACCTAAGGTTCCCCTGTTTTCCGAGTACCCCACCCCCGTCTCGCACACAGGTGGACATCCTGTCCCGCCAGCTGTGCGAGCCGGCCTGGCACCCCGACGGCGGCAGCTTGCTGGCGGCGCCGGGCCAGGACGGCGAGGTGGTGGTCTACGAGCGGCTGAGCTGGCGCCAGACCGCCGTGCTGAGCCTGGCGCACGGCTCCAGCCAGCGCCTGGTGAGCTTCTCGCCCAATGGCCTGTACCTGGCCGCGGCCGACGAGGACGACTACGTCAGGGTGGTGGCGCTGCAGGGCGGGCAGGCCCTGGGGGCGCGCCTGCTCCCTGGCGCGGCAGCGTGCCTGACCTGGCACCCGAGCTCCAACGCCCTCCTGCTGGCCACAGAGACCGGTGATGATGCGCGCGGTGGGGGGTGTAGGGGTTGGGAGGGAGATTATGAATGGGGTTGTGTTGGTGGCAACTTTGGTGAGCAGAGGCGGTGGCTGGCACAGCCCATGGAGCAGGGATGTGAACGACGCCCGACCGAGGCGGGGGGCTCTGTGTCACAGTCTGGGGCCGCGGTCAGCGCAGACATCGCGGCGCCATGCCCTGGATGTGACCTGTGGGGCACCTCGGGTCTACGGATCGATGGGCAGGCATGAGACCCGTCCTTCCAATACATGCATGGACCAAGTCCACTGTTTCCATTCCAACCCCCCTCCGCTCCGCCCCGCACCGTCGCCGCCGTCCATGCCACCCACCCTGCAGGCGAGTTCACGCGGTGGAACGGTGTCGTCCCAGAGGACCAGCCTGGACCCCACGAGGTACTGGACGTCGCCTCTGCCGCCGCCAGCCTGGGTGAGCGCCGCGCGTGACCGGTCTGAGCTGGGGCTCAGACGCACGGTGAATCGATTCGTGTCATCTTGCTGGGCGAATGGAGTCTCGACCTCATGCCCAAGCATCCTTCCGTGCAGGCGCCGCACCAGGGAGCATACTGGAGGGCGGCGACGACGACGTGGAGGAGGGCAGCCTGCCATCAGACTCGGGTGAGACACGGGGTGGTGCGGGCGCTAAGCTTGCTAGATTAGATCCTCAGGCATCTGAAATGGTTTGGCAATCAAGGGAATGCACATCCTATCCGCTCCAACCTGGACTATCACCCGCCTGCGGTCGCGCCACCCCCAGCCCCCACTTCCCACCTCCTGATGCCACACCCCCATGCAAGCAGGACCAGACGAGCCCGTGCACGGCCGCCGACGCGGGGCCGGCCGCTTCCGGTTCCCGCCCCGCGCCCCGCCGCCGCAGGCCGCCTTCCAGCCGGGGTCGACGCGGCCGGACCGGTCGGGGCGCAGCTACCTCTGCTTCAACGCGCTGGGGACGCTGACGCTGCGACGTGAGCCAGGGGGCGGCGCGGGCGTGATCGAGACCAGCTTCCACGACACCGCCCGCCACCGCCGACGCGTGCCCCTGATCACCGACCACCTGGGGTTCAGCCTGGGGCACCTGGGGACGCAGGTGCGCAGGGCCCTGAGGCTTGAGGAATGGTGCGGCAGTCGCCACCTTCCCCTCGCTGGGGCACGGAAGGAGTACCAGGACCTGATATATGCATGAGCTGTGGTAGTGCCCCGTCCTCAATGGTGCAGTCTTGGCAAATCCTGGGTGATCCAGTCCCTCCACACACACACACACATGGCAGGGCGTGGTGCTCGCCAGCCCTGCGACCGAGGACGCGCCCTCCACCATCACCTTCCGCCCGCACGAGGGCTGGGCGGCCAACTCCGACTGGTGAGCGTGCGCTGGCCCCGCTGAGGCGGTGATCTGGGGTGCCTTCCGAATGTTCTCGAGCTTGTCGCCCAGCAGCCACGATCGGCAGGCTAGACCCAGTGCACAGCACCCAGCTTGCACAGTCGCCACGGCCCACAGTGCTCCCCTTGATAGCCCTCCGCATCCCTCTCCCCACCTCTCCCTGACTTCGTACCCCCCCCCCCCCCACCTGTCAGCACCAAGGCTCTGCCTGAAGGGGAGGAGGCCCTGTGCGTCGCCTCGGGCGACACCTTCTTCGCGGCGGCCACCAGCGCCCGCCTGCTCCGCATTTTCTCCCTTTCCGGGCTGCAGCTGTGCGTGCTCTGCCTGGCGGGGCCGGCGGTGACCCTGACGGCCGGCGGCGACAGCCTGGCTGTCGTGTGGCACGCCCAGCGCCCAGACGCAGACGGCACGCAGCACCTGCGATACTCGGTGCGGCGCGGACCTGCCCTGCGATGAGGGGCACTGGCTTGAGTTCGTCTTTGGGGGGCTGGCCGGGGTGAGGGTGTCACGGTCTCGTGGCCTTGGGCAGCTGTGGCACATACACGTGGCGATGGCATGCCTGACTGGGTGGGCCGAAAGAGTCCCAATCACAGGACAATGGACTCCAGCATGGCCCCAGGTGCGGCCACAGGGCCGCACCCGGGGTAGGCTCCCTCACCAGGATCCCAACCATACGATCCCCTGCACACCCACCACCTGATGCCCCGCCGACGCCACGCAGACCTATGCCGTGGCGGCCGGGGCTGAGCTGGCGCAAGGCGCCCTGCCCCTGACCCCGGGCTCCACCCTGGTGTGGGCGGGGTTTACCCCTGAGGGGCAGCTGGCCGCGCAGGACAGCGCCGGCGAGGTCCGGGTGGCGGGCCTGCGCTGGGGCGCCTGGGCACCCCTCTTCTCCGCCGAGGCCGGTGCGGCGGCGGGAGTGTGCGTCGCTGATGCGAGCAGGGAGGGGGTGGGGTCACGGGGTGTCACGCGGCACGTGTGCGCCCCCTCGCGCCCGACCCATGGAGGCACTGGGGGTGCAGCCCATGCTGGTCGCGCCTGGGCCCTTGCGCCCGTGCAGGGCGCCAGCGCCCCGGCCGAGCGCCCTTCCCTTCTTCCTGGGGCCATCCCTGGCAGCCATGCCAGCCACACCAGCTGCTGTTTTCCCAGCGATGCACACGATGAACACACACATGCACACACTCCCTCGCACGCACGCACAGCTCGGCAAGGCGGCGAGCACTTCTGGCTGGTGGAGTGCGGACTGCGCGAGGTGCAGTGCGTGGTGCTGGCGGGGGCCGAGGAGCCCGGGGTCAGCGTGGGCACCGCCCCCCGGCCCACCCTCTCCTCCCTGCCCACCCGCCCGGGCCTGTTGGCCGGGGGCAGCGGGGCTGCGCAGGAGGAGGAGCGCTTCCGCTGCCTCTGGGAGCGAGAGGCCGCGCAGGACCAAGCGGCGCTGGACGCCGCGCGCCGCGCCGAGGACCAGGCCAGGCGAGGGGAGGGGGAAGCTGAGGGGGAGTGAAGGGGTGGAAGAGGAGCGGGTCAGCCGAAGATGCAGGGATGAGGCTGTGGCAGATGTCATGAGCCTGGGCCAGGCCCGGGGTCTGTGGTCGACTGATGGGGACGAGGGGCCACCCTGAGGGTGCTGCCCGCGTGGCGCATCCGATGCAGTGCATGCAGGCTGCCACGCAACCCCCGCGCCGTCGGCCCCAGCTGGAAACCAACCGCCGCCGCCGCCACCCTGCGCAGCCTGCGCCTGCTGGCCGAGCTGGCCAAGGCGGATCGGTGCGCGCGGTGCCTGGAGCTGGCGCAGCAGATGCACACCGTCGCCGCCGTGGAGGGCGCCGTCCGCCTGGCCACCCACTTCAAGTGAGCGCGCGGGGACGGCAAAGTGGGAGGGGTCCGGGAAGACGCCCACTCTTTCCTCAAAAGGCCTCAATGACCCCTCTGTGGAAAGTTCCTCGCCTCGCAAGTCCTCCCCGTTCTGCTCCCGCCACAGGGCGACTGCCCTGGCCGACAGGCTGTCGCTGGTCCTGGAGGAAAGGATGGACACAGGCGCAGAGTCCCAGGTGCGAGGATCCGTTTATGGGGGGGTTGAGGCCTGGATGGCTGCTGAGATATGAGAAACAGGTATCGGTGGAGGCTTCCTGTGCTGCTACCAGGAGCCCGCACCACTCCTCGCTGAGGTGCATGGCTGCATGGAGGCAGCGCTGCCGGTGCGCTGCTCATTTGGATGCCTCTCACACTCCCGACGCCGAGACCACGCCACCCCTTGTGCAGGAACCCCAGCCCTCACCCATCGGGGGCGGCGCGCTGCTGCCGAGGAGTCAGGCTCAAGGCCCGGCCACCCTAAAGAGGAAGGGAGCGGCTGCGGGCGAGGACGCCGCTCCCAACCCCTTCTCACGCAGGCCCAAGCCTGCGCAGGCATGACCCCTGATCACCGGTCCTGAGGGACTCGTATTGCTTGTGACAACGCGGTGGCAGCCTGCACTGCAATCATCTTTAAGAGGTGCAGCAGGCATGCCCCAGGCTTGAGTGCGTCAGGCCTTGGGCAGAAGGAGACACGCACTCCAGGGAAGGGTTGCACACATGGCTCGCGCCTGCAAAACCATGGACGCTGTAAGTGCCAAGAGGGCCTGCTCAGTCCTTGATGGCGATGCCCATGTTGCGCGCCGTGCCCGACACCGTCCTGATGGCAGACTCCAGGCTGCTGCAGTTGAGGTCGGGGAGCTTGATGGTCGCGATCTCCTGGGGGGTGGCAAGGAAGGAGAGGTGGCAGAGGTGGGATTATGGGAGGGGGGCCTGGTGTGGCGCATCTGATGCATTCTGCATACTACGTTGGACGTCCGGCTGCCTCGCCCGTTCGGCTGCTCCGCACCTTGATCTGTTCGGCAGTTACCGATCCGACTGGCGGGCCATTGGGGGTGCCAGAGCCCTTGGCCACGCCGGCAGCCTTGGTGAGCAGCGTCGAGGCGGGGGGGGTCTTCAACACAAAGGTGAAGGTCTTGTCCTGCGCAGGTGTTAGGTTGAGGGATTCAGGAGTCGGCGATGGGTCCTGATCCCCTCTGGCTGTCACGATGCAGCATGATCCCGCCGACGCCGCATGCCCGACTCAAGCCAATGCGCCCCCTCCCCCCCCCTTTGTAAACGCAGCCCCATACCTTGTACACGGTGATCTCGACGGGGATGATGGAGCCCATCTTGTCCTGGGTGGCCGCATTGTACTCCTTGCAGAACTGCATGATGTTCACCTGCTTCTGCCCGAGCGCGGGGCCGACGGGGGGAGCAGGATTGGCCTTGCCCGCAGGCAAGGCCAGCTTGATGATGCCGATGACTGGGCAAGAGGATTGGGTGGGAGGCAGGGGTTGACTGTGGAGGTGTTTGTGTGTGAGACAGGGTCTTGGGGGCACTGCTCAGACCGCCATCCCACGAGAACATGGCGAGTGCTGTAAAATGCGGGGCATAGAATCAGGTCAACTCACAAACCCCAGCATCCCGCCCTCCGGTTCCCAGCTCACCCTCCCCAGCGGCGAGTGGCGTCAGGCGCTGGCGGGGACACACCCTGCGAGCGGTGAAGCATTCCTGCCGGGGCATCCTGTACTGCAGACTTCCCATGCTAGATCCCGCCGAAGAGTACGGTCCACCGAAGCAAGCCTGTGCACGGCACGCGTGCGCGGTGGGTGCCTGTGCGGCTATCATTGTCGCACAGTGGGTGGCCGTCAGGGATCCGACCGCCTGCTTGTCGGCAACCTCGTCGACAAACACAGAACAGATGTTGGACAATTGTGAGTCTTGCAAGGAAGGAATCGCACCGTGCACACGACGTCCTCCCCCCCCCAGCGTCTCGAGCGTTCAGCATTGGCGATAAGGTTTTTTCTTTGGCGCGCTCTGCAGCGGAGTTGGTTGGCAGGGCGACGAACGAGATGGTAAACCCAGGTATTCCCATGATCACTGCACAAAGAAGAGCTACATATCTCCATTACATCCTTCTAAATCTGTCGAGATTAGGCGACTCCAGCCCCTCGCGACAGGCGTGCTGGGGAGGCCAGGGGGTGCAAGGATTCTGCACCGGGAAGCCGGCCTTATGGCCCGCCTGCCGCGGCGCTCAGGACTGCGGGGATTGAATCTACGTGTAATTATGGCGATCATAGGGGTCGCCCTGCTCTGGTGGAGCCTAATGAGCGTGTCCGACGGCTACACTCCCATACGCGGCAACAAAGGGAAAGTGCTCGTCTCCTACTCCTATTTCGAGAAAGATGACATTCAGGTGAGCGTGCTGCATCGCACTGAGTGCTTCAAAATGTTTACACATGGGATCGAGGTTCCTCGTTGTTACCCTGCCATGCGATCGGAGGCCCTCACACCTTCCCTCTGCAAGACCCGCAACTTCGACTTCTTCATCACGACTGCCATGGGCGTCGACAACGTGCTAGATAAGCCACATAACATCGACTTCGTGGTGGTGCAGAGCGGAGACGCCTGCGAGCCCTGCAAACGGCTGCTTCAATCCATGAAGTGCGTCCATTCTTGGGTGATGGGAGAGGCCTGGGCGGCTGGGGCTCTGCGCCACCGGCTGCCAGTCCGTGGCAGGATGTGCCTGACTTTCCCAGCTACTCCCTGTGCTGGTCCGACTCGTATGCCATCAACATGCACGCAGGGCTGCAGACAATGCCTTGTCGGAAGTTCGGCAGGTGTACGAATCCGTGTCTGGCCCCGGCCGAGTGACCCTCCTCCAGCGCAAGGAGAACGAGGGCATGGACTTTGCGGCGCACAACATCACTTTGGAGTACCTGCTGGCTCAGGGCAGGCTGAAGCAGTACAAGTATGTGATCCTGCTCAACAGCTCCGTCCGTGGCCCCTTTGTCCCATCCTACATGCCCGAGGGCTGGCAGTGGCCGCAGGCCTACACCAGCCGCCTGGTGGGGGACGTGCATGTCGTCTCCTCCTCCCTGGTGTGCCTGCCAGAGGTCGACCTGGGTGAGGCGTGGGGCTGCGTATGCAGGGTGGGTTTGCTGGGAGCGGGCCATGCCGTACTCGAGGGGGAGGTGCTGAACATCTCCCTGCCTTGCTTTGTCTGCACCTGGCGTGCTGGCTGGGTGGGGTGTCCAGGGTGCTCCCCGCTACTCCACCAAGTGCCTGAGCGCTAGGAAATTGTGCCCCCCTCC